GTGCATGTGGACGTCACCTAGACTTCATGCCCTCTGTGCCCAGTGGGGGCCGGTTCCACTTACCTGCTGGCTCTATCCAGCATCCACGCAGAGGAGGTCCTGTCGTCGCCCCGGTTCCACACGGGAAACCAAGGCAGGGAGAAGTCAGCCCCTTGCCCTGACGGCAGGCCAGTGCTCCCCTGGTCTCAGCACCAGCTGCAGCCTGTCCTGGTTGAAAAGGCAAAAAGGAAACATGTAGTCCTCGTTACAGAATCAGGAGTGTTTCAAAACCGAAAGCCTTTAGAGCCAGGGTCCTACTTTCAGGAAGCTGCCCGGCCGGCCAGAGACAGGCACTCAGCGCCCATGCCGTGGCTGTGTGGCCGCGGTGCCGTGAGCAAGGACGTCTCAGTGCCTGTCCGAGGCCCCAATCTCTCTTCTTTCCTACGCACACCTGGGGCGGGGAGGGCTGGGCGGTGACTTGTCTCATCCAGATAAACAGCTCATCAGTCAATAAAACAAGGGGTGTAGACTTTCGTGCCCCAGCCTTGGGCCACCCTTACTTGGGGGGGGGGCATGGCCTTGAGTGAGGCCAAGGGCAGGGTCCAGGGAGGGAAGCAGCTGTGACCCTCAGTGGCAAATAATCCCATCAGCTGAGGGGTGGGAGACACTTTGAAAAAACTGTAAATATCCTATTCTTCGTTAAACAAAAGGGACACTTTTAAGAACAGAGAAGCTGCAAGGACTGCATCTTTTCTGAATAAAGGAGAATCTTTGTGTTGGAATAAATTTAGCTCTATGAAATCTCCCCAGAGCTAGTGGGGGTGTAAATCAGTGTGTGCACTTTGGCAAAAAATAGCTAATATCTGGGAAATACCTTATAACCCAGCAGTTCCACAACTGAGTATTTTTCTCACAGAAAGTCACATATGGTCACCAAAAGGCACAGGCCAGATGCTCACAGCTGCTCTGCTCACTCCAGCCACAAAGTGCCATTCCCCCAAGCCCCTCAGCAGCAGGATGGAGGTCTAGTCCAGCAGGGCCCCTGCATCGCACATCTGAAAGTTGCAAAGAGAGTAGATCTTAAAACCTCATCACAAGAAAAAAATTGTAGCTGTGTGGCTATGGATGCTAACTACACTTATTCTGGTGTTCATTTCACAGTACATATAAATACTGAATCATTGTATTGTACACTTGAAACTAGTATGTATCCATTATATCTGATTTTTAAAAATAAATAAACAATATTGATGAGAATAAGGAAACAGATGAATATGTGACTTATATCTGGGTTTAGCAATTAAGTAGAAAATACTGATAAGGTAATGAGAATCCATAAACTACAGCCACGTGCACCTGTGGGGATTTACTGAGCAGCTCTAACAGGAGATCGACAGAACCAGACATGCCAGAAGTCATCTTGTGCAGTTCCATTTACAAGTTCAAAAGTGGCAGGAATTAAATGTGAATTTTAGGGTTACTTAATTTGGTCGTATATGTATAAAGAAAAGCAAGGAAGTAAAGAGGCGTTATATAAGGGAACCAGCTCACCAAGAGGACATAGTGATCTGCAATGTGTACACACAGAATATATGAAGCAAAATACAATAGAACTGAAAGGAGAAATAGGCAAATCCGTCATTGTTTTCCAACACTCCTCCCTGCAGTAAATAGAATGAGCAGATAGAATATGAGCAAGAATATGGAAGATCTGAGCAAAACCATCAAATGCACCAATACAGATTTTTGGCAAAATGCAATGGAGAAGGGACAGTCTCTTCAATAAAGGGTGCTGGGACAATGGATATCTACGAGCAAAAAGGAGGGAAGGAAGGTAGAAAGAAAGAAAGAAACTCAACTATATAAAAATTTAATTCGAAATGGATCACAGATCTAAATGTAAAATACAAAACAACAGAAATCCTAGAAGAAAACATCGTAGTGGCCTTGGGTTTGGCAAAGAGTTCTTACAGATAGCACCAAAAGTATAACCCAAAAAGGAAAAAAAAATGATAAATTGAACATCATCAAAATGAAAAACTTTTGCTCCACAGTGAACATGGTTGAGAGGATGAAAAGCCAAACCACAGAGTGGGAGAGAATATTTGCAAACCACACACCCAGTAAAGGACTTGTGTCTGGGATATATAAAGAATTCTCAAAAAACAGTAAGAGAAAAACAACCTACTGAAAGAAACGGTAAAGTTTGAATAGACAGTCTGCCAAAGAAGATGTGGATGGTGCGTGAGCACATGAAAAGATCTTCAACATCATCAGTCGCTTGGGGAGATGCAGATCAAATTCACAATTGGCTGAAATAAAATAAAAATACAAACAACACCAGATGCTGGTGAGGATGCAGGAAACCGGAACTCTCAGACATCACTGGTGGGGATGCAAAGTGGTACAGTCACTTTCAGAAAGTGTCCAGCCGCTTCTTACTGGGTTAGACTTACAGGTATGCTAGGACCCAACATTCCCACTCGTAGGAATTTATGCAAGAGAAGCGAATGCTGCTCGTTCATACGAGACCTGCACATGTGTGTTCACAGCGGCAGCGGTCACGACGGTCCCAAACGGGAGGCAGCCAAACGTCATTTTGAGGGTGAACGGTGACGCACACACAGAGCGGGAAAACTACTCTGCAGTCGGAACGGACGGGTCCCCATACGCCCACTGCACAGCCAAGTTCCAAATGCTCAGTGACGGGAGCCAGTCTCAAGGGCCGCATCATGTATGATCCCATTTATACGGCATTCTCAAAAAGGTTTTTTAAATCCTCACCCAATGAGATGCGTATCAACTCTAGAGAGAAAGAGAGGGAGGGAGGGAGAGAGAGAAGCATAGGTTGGTCGCCTCCATCAGCTGCCTCCCACATGCGCTCAACCGGGGACTGAATCTACCAGCCTTTGGTGTAGGGGACGATGCTTCAGTCAGCTGAGCCACCTGACCAGAGCTCAAAAAGGTTTTTAGAATTGTGGCGACAAAGAGCAGACAGACAGTCCCGGGCTGGGTCGGGGCGAGAGTCGGACAGTACCAAGGACGGAGTTTACCCGGGGGAGGGCATTGTGCTCTATCAACTCTCACTGAAAACCTTCATGACTCTACACGTGTTAAAACTCATAGAACCAAACACCAAAGAAAGCAGAGACAACACCATGTACGTCTGAAAAATAAAAAATGAAATAAATGTTGCTGCCAAAAAGCACCCCCCAGACCTAAAAATGCTGTAGAAGTCAGAGAGGTGGTGACCATGGGGCAGAGGGTGGGGGAGGGGCAGGAGGCGGCTCCTGTTGGAAAAGGTGTCTGGGGACCTCCATGGGGTTGACGATGACTTAGTCCTGGCCTGGCTGAGGGCTGCGTGGCTGCTGGGTTCCCAAGGACTAGCTAGGTTATACATGCACATGTTATGCACTTTCTCTGTGTGGGTTTCATATGTGCACACAAGCTCCCTTGGTACTCCCAATGAACTAACAGGTGACAAATGTCCCCACAGGTGCCTGGCATGTGGAAAGGAACCAGTCTGCCTTTTTGCCTTTTTGGGGAACTGGAAGGGAGATTTGCTTTGAAACTGGAGAAATTCACAGATGCCGGGTCCTGTTGGGGGTCAAGGGAGCCTTGTCTTCTAAGGAGGTCAAGTGGGAAGCACCGAAGGTGTTAGACCAGGGTCTGACCACTGGTCCTGTAGCGACATGCTGGGACCTGGGTGAACCTTGGAATGGGCAGCAGGGAGATGCCCGGAGAGGGTGGCCCCCGAGTTCCTGGGCCTCTCTGCACTTCCGTCCGCCCTCCGGCCTGTGACTCAGCCTGGCCTCCTGGTTTTGCCAAGCTGGTTGTTTCTGTTCTGAGCTGTCCTCCCGGCGCTGCGCAGCCCAGACTGATTTCTGCTTTTCTTCGCCTGCCTGGCAGTGGGAAGTCACCCTGAGCTCCTCTGGGCCTGGATGGCTGGGGGTGGGTGGGTGCTAGGGCAGCGCCTGCCTGCCCCAGTGACCTGACTGGGGTTGGGGGGCCTTATCACACTTCCCATCCGCCATTCATTATGATTCAACAACAAAGAACACTGCCCCTTCCCCGGTGGCTGGGCTTCACCGAGGGGTGACGGTTGCTGCTGTGTGACCCCAGGCACGTACTCACCCTTTCTGAGCCTTGATAGTACCATCTGTGAGGATTCCAGAGGCCCCTGAATTATGTATATCTCTTTGGGAGAGCAGTGTTCCAGAACTTTCTAGAGCTTTCAAGAACCTCTCAAAGGGGATTCTGCACCCAGAAATGGCAACTTGCAATCCCTCCTATGGCTGCGAGAGTCAGGAAGCAGCTATATGTTCCCCTCCACATGCTTGTACTACTTTGAGGGTCCTGAGGGCTAAGGGGGTCCAGGGCAGGGGGCCTTGACCAGCCAGTTTAACTCACAAGTTCTCCTACGCCCAGGCTGCCAGTTCAATGTCTCCTCCTGGTGCCAAATGCCATCTGGTCAGTGTGACTTGCCTTGACTCCTGCGTGAAGCTGCAACCCCACCCCCCAACACCTCCCAGCCCCTCCTCCACTCCACTTTTTGCTCAGAACGCATTGCCATCCAACAGGCTCAGATATTTTTAAAACTACCTTTCCTGACTTGTCCTGACTGGAATGTTAGGCAGAGGGGTCAGGGATTTCGTCTTTCTGCAGCGCCTAGGATGCCTGGCACATAGTAGGTGCTCAGTCAGTGTTTGCTGGAAGAATAAATGGCCATCCTATAGCTGCCTGGTTATAATGGGTCTAGACCCAGGGGCAGCATGGGTCTGTGCCTCAGTTTACTCATCTGTACATGGGAGGAGATAGATAACAGTAACTCTGAGGGGATGGGCACGTGAAACGAGCCCGCACAGGCAAGGACTTCAGACAGTAGGTGCCACCCCGCCTTCCTTGTGGGTGTTCTGAAGATCGCTCCTAATTGGCTCCGAACAGGCTCTCAGGGGTGGGCCTGGTGACAGGGGCGGGGTCAGGGGCCCTCGCAGGATGGAGTCCACCCCTTCTTCAGAATGAGGAAGGAGGGCCCAGTCAGCCGCCGGGACCCAGACGGTGCGGGGGCCCTTCCTTGAGGTGCCCCACCCTCCCCAGGGGCACCCACCTCTCCTTGCTGCCCCAGTCAACCTGTTGGGCCGGGCCGGGCAGGTCTGGAGATGGGCGGGGAGCCCTGAGCCTCTGCACCCCTTCTCCTGCTCCTCCTGCTTTTCCCCCAACGCCTAGTGCCTGGCGCTCAGGCCTCTCTGAGCTGGGCTGCCTGGGTGCCAGAGGCCAGGAAGTTGGGGGTTCCAGGGGGTGACCCCCAAGAAGAGGGCGGCCCCTTCACGCTTGGCTGCCGGGAGCCCTCCCTGGAGCCCACGGGGTGGGGGTGCCCTCCCCAGAGGGCCGGGGCCATGCTGCCTTGCGCCTTCTGAGGCCCCGAGTCATGGCCCGGTCGCTGACCTGGCGCTGTTGCCCTTGGTGCCTGACGGAGGATGAGAAGACAGCCGCCCGGATTGACCAGGAGATCAACAAGATCCTCCTGGAACAGAAGAGGCGGGACCGAGGCGAGCTGAAACTGCTGCTTCTGGGTGAGTCCGGGGCCTGGTGGGGTGGCGGAAGGAAGAAGGCTGGAGGGGAGGGTCCTTGCCCCAACTGGGGCCACAGAACCTGGGAACCCACTTGCCGGATGAGAAGACTGAGGTGCCAAGAGGCCCAGTTCTTCGTCCAGACACAGGCCCAGCCACCCTGCAGAGCATCTGCAGGAATGGAGGTGGCCTGGTGGGGTGGCCCGGTGGGGCGGCTCCAGCCTGGCAGGCCCAGCACACCCTACCGGCTCTGTGTCGGATCTGTGTCGTGGGAGGGTAACCATGAACTCAGGTCTGTCTGTGCCTGCCCAGGCCAGGAAGGCCTAGCCTGTCCCTCCATGTCCACAGGGCCCCCCAGTTCCTCTCTCTCTACCACACCAGCTAGCCAGGCGAGGGTGTGGGGCTTCACCTGGGTTCTGGAGGTTTGTTAGTGTGAGTTTTGTGGGCAGAGTGTTGCCATCTGGTTCTGATGGACTGATTGGTTCATTCATACATTCAAAATGTATTGAGCAACTCCTGGGGACACAGCGGTGAAGGAGATGGAAGTTGTCCCTGCCTCCAGGGACCCCATCTCCTGGTGAGGGAGACAGACGTTAAGCCCGTAAACTGAAACGATTTCCGGCAGCTAGAAGATCGAGGGGGAAAATGAACGCAGGTGAGGAAGTCGGGGTGACTCAAAGGGCAGCAGACTGTGACCTCTGAAACTTCAAGTCCTGCCACCCACATGCGTTCACCCCCCCTAAGCGCTGTGCCCGTGTGTGGCCCCAGAGCTGTGGGCCTTGGAGGGGCTCCCAGGACCCCCTGAGCTCCGGGTGGGTGCTGGGCAGGCCTCGGGTGTCCTGAAGTCACACCTGCCGGAGAGAGGCCCAGGTCAGAGAGGCTGGCCATCTGTCTGTACAGTTGCCTCTCTCTTTCCTTGCTCAGGGGGAAGTGTCGGGGAGTGGAAAGAGAGTGGGAGCACTGGACCCCGAAATTGCACCCTAATTGAGGGACCCTCCAACTTCTAACATTGCTCCCTCTTGCTGAACTAGCGAAAAGAGTGCCCCTACCCCTTTATTTCTCCAAGAAGATCTGGCGTAAAATTCAAACTCTGGCCCGTGGTTCTGGCGTAAAATTCAAACTCTGGCCCGTTTGGCTTCTCGGACCCCATCTCCGCCTGCTGGCCATAGCATTTCGGCAGCAGCTGCCTGGTTTCTTCGCTCTCTGTTGAGTATTTTACGTTTTCCTTAAACATTTGGTAAAATCATGAATGAGCCTGCAAAATTTTTAATTAAGAATTTAATTGCTTTACTATCTATGTCTATATTTTATTTCTTTAATAGATAGGGTATTATATTAATAATATATGTGATATATTAACATATTATTTACTATTTTTAAGAGATTTTATTTATTTATTTTTAGAGAGGGAAGGGAGGGAGAAAGAGAGAGAGAGAGAGAGAGAGAAACACCAATGTCTGGTTGCTGGGGGCCGTGGCCTGCAACCCAGGCATGTGCCCTGACTGGGAGTCGAACCTGCAATGCCTGGTTCGCCGCCCACACTCAATCCACTGAGCTATGCCAGCCAGGGCTTATTTACTATTTTTAATCAGTGGGGCTATTTAAGCTATCTGTTCATGAGTGAGCTTTGGTTATGGGTGTCTTTCAAACAATTTGTCCATTTCTTCCAAATCATTAAATTTATGGGCATACCATTTTTCAAACATTCTCTCAACATCCTTTCCGTGTGTGTAGGGTCCGTAGCTATGTCTCTCTTTAATTATGTCTCCAGTCCTTTTCCTTCGACAGTCAGACTAGGGGTTATCAATGTTAGTGATCTTTCCATGCACATTTCGAGTTCATTTACCTGGACCTGAGGGCCTTTGCACTTGGTGATCTCACTGCCAAGAGCTCTCAGGGTCACGGCTGGCACTGTTGCTCAGGGGAGGTCTCAGCTGGACTGTCACCTGCTCAGAGACGTTTTCTCTGAACCCCACGGCTGCACAGAGAGCCCCTGGTTCTCCGTCCTCTGCTTGACTTTCCTTCATAGCTCTCATTCACAGACGCTCTGAGGCGTTTGCCTGCTTACCGCCTGCCTCTGCGGTTGTAGAGCAAACAGCACAAGGCGGGGATCACATCTGTCTTATTCCCTCCCGTGCCCCCGGCGCCTGGCCCAGCAGGACAATGAGCCTGACATTTAGTAGGTGCCTAGTACATGCTTTATAAAGGACTGAATGGATGAATGAATGAATGAATCAGTCTTGATTCAGGGGAGATTTTCTCCAGAGCCTTACCATATCTTCCTGGAGCTGGGAAGGACCCTGGCCCGCCTGCCCACTGTCCAGCCAGCCCCGACTCAGGGGGCCCCTTCTGCTGTGCGGAGAAGGGGGTGGGGAGGAGATTGTTTGTGTGTCTGAGTGCCAATGGTCACCCCTCGGACAGCCATGTGGACTGGTTTCAACCACCCCCATCCTTTCCCTGAGGGCCACCTCCACACCTCCCTCCCTTCTTAAAAACAGGAATTAAATCCAAAAGTAATTTTTTCTAGATGTTTGTTGATCCATTCGAGAATGAGGACCTAGTATGTGTGTGGGGAGGGGTTGTCTGTCCCTGACAGGAAGTGATCACAATGTTGGGAGGGGTGGAGTCAGAATGAAGCTATAGCCCCAGATGGGGAAACAAAGGCCCAGAGAGGTGAAGCGATTTGCCCAAGGTCACACAGCCAGTGTCAGAACCTAGAATTCCAGCTCCAAGTCTGTGTGTCTGACTGCCCTGTGAACATGCCTCAGGAAAGAAAAGCCACAGAACCCCAGTGACAGATGGGGAAACTGAGGTCCGGGGAGGTGGCAGCACCGGTCTGAGTCAGCAGCCAGTCTGCACCAGAGCCGAGCCAGAGCCGAGTGAGCTGCCTGCCCTCCGGCCCCTGCTGCCCAGCCTGGCGCCTGTACGCCAGGGTCAGCGGGGGCTGGGGCTGCCATCCCCTCCACGGGAGCCACATGCTGTCTCGTGATGCCTGGGTCTTGGCCCAGCTCCTCCAGGCGTCTGCTGGGTTCCACTTCCTCATCCATCCCAGGAGGAAGTGTCGCTTCCTGTCTGGGCTGCAAGACCCCGCCAGGTGGATTCAGCTGCCCCCACCCACAGCTCCCAGCGCCACGTGGGGGGTTTCCTGAGACAGCCAGGAGCCAGGGGTTTTAGAGGTTCCAGGTCCCTCAGTGGCTTCAGGACAGGCATGGGCCACACACAGGGGTTTCCGCCTGTGGAATTTTTCAGAATTCATGCTGTGGTCCATTTGTGAGTCACAAAATCCACGTTGTGGGTGGAGACCAGAATTTTTTTTCTTTAATAAAGCAGAAGAGAAGAGAAAAAAAATTAGCGCATCGCAACCTAGTTAAGTGTTGCTTCCTGAGACCTTTGTCTCTGCACTTCTGGAGGGGCCTGAGATCCGAGAGCTGGAAGGCCACCGAGAGGTCGAAGGGTGACGTCCTCTGCTGTCGGTCTCGGTGCCGTCTCAGGCAGCACCCACAGGGACCGTCCAGGTTCTGAGTGTCTGTAGAAATGTCACATTAACTGGTATCTTGATGACGCCTGACTCGCCCAGCTGGCCATGTCCCATTCTGGAGGTGAAGGACGCACAAAGGCTCCGACTCCAGTCCCCTGCTTCTCCACCAGCTGTGTGACCCCGGGAAGGGTGCTGCACCTTCCTGAGCCCGTGTCTCCTCCGTAAACGGGAAAACAGCAGGAATCCCATGAGGACTGACCAAGGACAGGCACCGAGTGCCTTGGCTCCTGTCCTGGCAGATGCCAAGAGTTAAATCATGCTCACCGTGATGATGATAGTGATGCCAATTGTTATTATTATTAATGTTGCTATTATATAGGCAGCACATGGGACCTTCCTGTATGATCATTAAAAGGCCCACGAGGCTCTGACTGGTGTGGCTCAGTGCGCTGGGCATCGTCCGCAACCAGAGGCTCGTGCAGCTTCCGTTCTCTGTCAGGCACGTGCCTGGGCTGTGGGCCAGGCCCCGGCTGGGGACATGTGAGAGGCCACGATCTCTGTTTCTCTCGCACATGGATGCTTTGTTCCCTCTCTTCCTCCCTCCCTTCCCCTCTCTCTAGACATAAATCAATACAATCTTAAAAAATAAAAAGCCCACAACCTCTGGACTCAGGAAGAACTGAGTTTGAGTCTCAGCTTGGCCACTCACCAGCTGTGCGACCCAAGGTGGTCCCCTCAACAGCTCTGGGACTTGGTTTTCCCACCTGAAAAGTGGGGCCAAGAGCCGTCCCTCCTGCTGTGAGGCCCAGGTGCGATGGTGCTTCCTGCTGGTGGCTCTCCGCGCTCCGCCACTTCTGCCTCCCGCTAATCGCCAAGCTTCTGAAGACTGGAGGTCTCCCCAGGTTTCTGATTAGGAAGCCAGGCTGTGATATTCAGGTGTTTCAATTCTGGAATACTTAGTGAACTTGATGAACTAAAATCCAAGAAGTTCCAGAATCCAAGACACATGTGGCCCCACACTGGAGAGATTACAGACCTGGGGGACCCGCCAGCGTTTTTTTTGTTTGTTTGTTTGTTTTTTGTTTTAAGGAAACTTTTTACTTGGGGAAATTTTAGATGTATGGACAAGTTGTGCAGGGAGCACACAGAGTTACCCTGTACTCCAGAGCAGCTTCCCCTGCCACTCACGTCTCACGGAACCGCAGCACTGCTGTCACAGCTGAGGAGTCGACAGGGGGCCCTTGCTGTCACAGCGCTGTTAACTGAACCCCAGACGGTGCATTGGGCCATTTGACTGCCTTTTCCACAAAGGCCCTTTTTTGGTTCCAGGACCCAATCCAGCATTTCATGTTGCATTTAGAGTTGTTTTTTTTTTCTCTCCCTTAACTTATTTGAAATGCATCCAGACTTATAAAAAAAGTTGCGCCTGGATTCTTCTGCAAATGTTAACATTTTACCACATTTCCTTTATCCTTCTCCCCCCAAATATATACACACATGTATGTGCTACATGTAAGTGTATATATACACAGATTTGTAGTTTATTTAATGCATAATTATAGCTATAGTTTATTTACTATACATGTGCATATTTAATACATATGTTTTCATCTTTTCTGAACCATTTGTAAGTTGCAGACCTGATGCCTTTTTACCCCTAAATACTTCAGTGGGCTTGAGTCCCACTACAAAGCAGAGCCCCCCAGGACCACGACACACGTTGGCCATGAGCCCAGTGCGGTGCTGTCAGCCACGTGTCCCCCACCCCCGCCCCGACTCTCACCAGCCTGCTTCCCCAGTCTCCCCACGAATGTCCTTTACGGCAACACAAACATGTCTCTCTCTCTCATTTTTTAATCTCCGCCCAAGGATATTTTTATTAATGATTTTTTTTAAAGAGAGAGAAAAGGATGGAGAAGGAGGGACAGAGGGAGAGAGAGATGTGAGAGAGAATAGATTGGTTGTCTCCTGTACGTGCCCCAAGCGGGGATCAAACCTGCAACCTAGGCATGTGTCCTGACTGGAGGAGATCTGTTTGGTGTACAGGAAGATGCTCCAACCAACTGAGCCACCCGAGGGCAAAAGTGGCTCTTTTTCTCAGACTGCAATTCTAGTGGATTTATAACACCCAGTGCTACCTCAGACCTGCCCTCCCTACCCTCAGACGTGCAGGGGGTAGACGGGGGATAAGACGGCCCTGGGGGGTGATGCAAGGCAGCACCTTCCTTCTCTCTGCCTCCCACACTCCCCACCCTCCTTTCTGCTCACCTCCCTCTGCTTTCGTTTCCTCTTTCTGGGCTCCAGCCAGACCACCCCTTCCCTTTTTGCTGCTTTTCCAGTTCCTTCTGCACAGGCCCCACTCAGGCCCCTGGAAAACCCCTGCACCCGTGTCCCCCAGAACCAGGCAGGGTGATCGGATGTTGGAGGAGCCTCCCAGCCTTGCGCCTCCTGTCTGGCTACCACACCCATTTTACAGACAGAAAACAGAGGCGCTGAGAGGGAGGGAGGGAAGGGGGTTCTGGAGCTCAGACAGCAGGGTGCTGAGACTTGGTCTTTGAGCTTCTACGCTCCTGGGCTCTTGAAGATTACAGAATTGATATCACAGAGGGCTGCACCCTCTGTCAGAAGGGTCCTGTGGTTTCATCTTGCACTTGGCCTTGTAGCTGGCCCTGCGAGGGCCTCTCTTTCCACTTTGGTTCATCAAGAAAGCCCTGTTTATTCTGTCTCCCAAATATCTCGCGAATATGACCCCTTCTCACCAGTTCCCAGGGCCACACCATCATCTCCTACCTCTAGGGCCCAGTGCCTCTGCTCTGGTACCCCACAGCCTGTCCTCCCCAGAAGCAGCCACCAGAGGGCGCATGTGAGCACTCGGGTCTGTTCCTCCTCCAATCACAGCCCTCCAGGACGCCCGCCTCCCTGGGGGAAAAGCCCAAGTCCTCCCACGGAGACCTGCGTGACCTGCCCAGTCCCCTTCCTGCCATCACCTGCTCGCTCTCGTTCCCTCCGGCCACCTAACACTCTTTATCCTATTTTATTTCCTTCATAAAAGTTTCTCTACGTGAGATTATTATAGCAAAAAATATGAATTATAATTATGATAAACACTGATACTAATAATAATAGTGAACACTAATGTAGCTCCTCCTGTATATAAGCATGCTGTAAGCCATGGCCCACAGTTTTTTGGTAGGAGACAGAGAGTACACATTTTCGGTTTGGCGGACCAGAGGGTGTCTGTCCGACTGCTCAGCTCCGTCACTGTAGGGAGAAAACAGCCACAGACAGTTCAAACCCCGGTGGGTGTGGTCATGCGCCAGTAAAACTTTACTGATAGACACTGAAACCTGAATTTCATTTATTTTCACGTGATACGAAACAATTTTCTTTTGAGTCCTTTCAACCATTTAAAATATAAAAACTGGGACCGTGGGAAGTATCAGAAACAGAAAAATCATACAGACTGTGAAAACGCCCTGGCTGTGCGAAAACAGGCTGTGGCTGGATTCTGCCTGAGCGCCACAGTTTGCCGACCCCGCCCTGGAGCCCCCCTCCCATGGCCTCATTCCGCCCTCACACGGTCGGAGCAGGCAGGGCCTATCCCGACCCGTGGTTTATAGGTAGGGAGACTGAGGCACAGGGTGATGAAGATGCTCCCCAGGGTCCCTGAGCGCGGCCTCGGCCCAGGGGATTTGAACCCCGGGAGGTCGGGGTTGAGGCCGAGCGCTGGCTGCCCCCCCCCACGCAGGCCCCGGCGAGAGCGGGAAGAGCACGTTCATCAAGCAGATGCGCATCATCCACGGGGCTGGCTACTCGGAGGAGGACCGCAAGGGCTTCCGGCGGCTCGTTTACCAGAACATCTTCGTGTCCATGCGGGCCATGATCGAGGCCATGGACCAGCTGCAGATCCCCTTCAGCAGGCCGGAGAGTCAGGTGAGCGTCCTGGGGCTGCCACACGGGCGCCACGCTAGGCGGCGGGTCGCTTAGAGCCCCCCAGGTCCTTGTTAAGAACACCACTCCTGGGGTTTCTTGGGATCCTGCCGTGCGTTCCAGGCAGCTCCACACCAGCATGCTCCTCCCTTCCTTGTGTCCTGTGCACCCCCAGCGCTCCACCCTTGGACCCCATGATTCGAGTGGGAGTTCGGAGTTAGCGCCTGTGCCCTGGTGGCAATATTAACACAATGGACTGATTACTGCGGGGAGGGGCTGCTATTCAGTTCATGCATCGCATCATCTTTAAAAAATTATTTTGTTGTGATCAGAATATTCAACATGAGATCTACCCTCTCAAATTTTAAGTGCACAGTACAGTATCAGCTGGAGAAAGGTTGTTGTGTAGCACAGCTCAACCCCGAAAGTCACTGAAACTGCCCATTGAATAGCACATCCGCATGCCCACCCCCTCTGCCCCGCCCCGGAGCCCATTCTGCTCTGGTCCCTTGAGTCTGCCTATTGCCTCGTGTAAGTGGGGTCATGCAGTATTTGCCCTTCTGTGACTGGCTTATGTCACTTAATATGATGTCCTTAAGGTTTATCCACATTGTGGCCTATTGTAGAAGTTCCTTCCTTTTAGTTTGTTTTTTAACTTTATTTTTTAATTAAAAATGTCCATTTATTGATTTTGAGAGAGAGAGAGAGAGAGACATCAATTTTGTTGTTTCTTGTAGTGATGCACTCATTGGTTGATGCGTGCACGTGCCCTGACTGGGGTTCACCTGCAGCCTTGGCGCATCGGGTCGGTGCTCTGACCAGTGGAGCCACCCGGCCAGGGCTTAATTTTTATTTTTCAGTCACAGTTGACATTTAGTTATTTCTGTTAGTTTTAGGTGTACAGCATAGTGGTTAGGGAGTCATAAACTTTACAAGAATTTCCTTCTTTTTAAAGGCGGAATACTGTCCCCTCTGTGGACGGGCCCCGTCGTCTTCACCTGCCGTCTGCCCACGGGCGCGGGGCTTCTCTGCACCTTGGCTGTGCACAGCAGTGCCCCTGTGCACACAGGCGCGCTCGTGTCCTTCCAAGATGTGATTTCATGTTGTTTTTGGATAAACATCCAGAAGTTGAGTTGCTGGGTTATGTCGAGATTCTATTTTTGATTTTGGGGGGAGCCTCCATACTGTTTTCCAAAGTGGCTACCCCGTTTTGCATTCCTGCCAATCGTGCAGTTTCTGGTTTTTCCACATCCTCACCAACACCTACCTGATGGTTTTCTGCTGTTTGTTTGTTTGTTTGTTTGACGGTGGTCACCCTAAGAGGTGTGAGGTCACAGTGCCTCTCTAAAATCTGAAAGCATCTCACTTGTAAATCTGGGATGGCCCAAGGACTTTGGAAGAGCAGCTGGGTGGGCCAGCGGCCCCTCCCTCACAGGGCTGGTGTGAGGGTGTGTCGAATGGAAAGCACTGGAAGTGCTCAGCACAGCCCCGGCTGCCGTGTGGGATCCGTGAGCATTCTCGGGTGAGATGATTCTTTAATCCTCACAGTGACCCATCTCTGCTAGTACCCCACTTCACGGCTGAAACGGAGGCTCCCCCGAAGGACAGCCACTGTACCATCTTCCATCACCGTGCATTTTCTTAGTTCCCAAGTTCCCTGGAATGATCTTTCATGTCTGGCTTCTGGTGCTGTGCAGTGTATCTGTGACCCATCCATCTCTTGGTGGCATAGTTGGGGTTTATTTTTACCGTAACTGCATGCCATGGTTTGTTTATTTGTCCATTTTAATGTTGTTGGCATTTGGGTCATCTGCCTATTTTGGCTGGGTATCTACCTAGAGGAGACATGCAAGAGACACCAAAATGTTTTTTAAGTAACTGTAGAAATTCATATTCCCACCAGCAGTGTATGCAGGGTTCTGGTTGCTCCTTGTCCTAGTCAACACTTGATATTGTCTGTCACTTCATTTAAGCCATTCTGGTGGGTGTTTGATGGCATTTCATTGTGGTTTTGATTTTCATGGTTTTGACTAATAATGAGCTTGTGTACTTTTTCGTGTATTTTCTTGGACACTTGGACATTCTGTTTTGTGAAGCAACTGTGCAATCTTTTTGTCCCATTTTTTAATTTTGTTTTTTTCACTTAAAAAAGTATACTTTCTCAGTTTTTAAAAAAAAATCTTCAACTGAGGAAATGTTTATTGATTTTAAAGACAGAGGAAGGGAAAGAGAGAGAGAGATGTGAGAGAAAAACATTGATCAGTTGACTCCCGTACACCCCCTGACCGGGGATTGAACCCACAGCCTAGGCATGTGCCCTGACCAGGACTCGAACCAGTGACCTTTTTGGTGTACCAGACAATACTCCAACCAACTGAACCACCTGGCCAGGGCCCTCAGTGTTTTCTTTACTGATTTGTAGCAAATTCTTTGTATATTCTAGATATAAACCCTTTGTTTCACATGTGTGGTTAGATTTATTCCTAGGTATTTGCTACCTTTTGATACTGCTGTAAATGGGATTTAAATCTTAAAAAATTTCCACTAGTTAGTGGATAGTATGTAGACACACATTTGATTTTTGTTTATTGATCTTGCATTTGTGGCCCCTGTTAAGTTCTCTGGGTTATTTTAATAGTTTGTCTGTAGACTATTTTGGATTTTCTACATGTAGTCATGTCATCCCTGAATGACCACAGTGTGATTTGTTTCTTTCCAAACCCGACCTTTCGTTCCTTCACCCTGGCGGGCCCGCAGTGCAGCGCTCACTGGAAACGGTGTGAGCGGACGCCCTTGCCTCCTGTCCCGCCCGCCATCTGTCAGAGTGATGGACCCTGTTCACTTCATTCAAAGCACATCAAGCTCCACTCGGGACCTTCACGGAATATAATTTTTACGAGGATTTTTTTCTTAATATTTGCTTTTACAATTATTTTTCATTTTTACTATGTTTTTAAAAACTTTGGATTTCACCTATTTTCAGGCTGTGCATTATTTTGCTCAGGCTGCCATGACCCGGTGGTGCCCACCGGGGAGCCTGCACAGCTGAAACGCATTTGTTCATGGTCTGAGATCATGGCGTCAGTGGGCTGGCTTCTCGGGGCTTCTCCCCTCGGCTGGCAAGTGGCCGTCTTCTCCCTGTGTCCTCACGTGGCCACCCTGTTCTTTTGTGTAAGGCCACCAGTCGTGTATGAGATCAGGGCCCACCCTCATTTTAACTCAGTCACCTCCGTAAAGACCCCACCTCCAAATACAGTCACATCCGCAGGTCCTCAGGGTTGGGACTTACATATAGGAATTTGCCAAGAATGAGGTGGTGGACAAAATCCAAGCTGTTTGTAACAGGCTGCGAGTAGTCTGATTGATTCTACACAGGGGTTATTCACAGATGCCCAGGCCTCACCCGTTTCCTTCCCCGGGGGCTGTCCTGTGCTCTCCTGCAGTGTGGGGCCTGGGCACGTTCCTCTCGTGCCTCAGGAGCCTAACCTGTAACATGGGGACACCTGTAGGGATTGTCCCCTAGAAGTCAGGACCCAGTGCTTGTAAAGAGCAGGAGGGGTGTGCCACGCGTAGGAGGCCACCAGTGCACACGCCACGGTCTTCGCCCGCATTGCTCTCGGCAGCGCGTTTCTCTCCTGCCCCTGGTGCCGGCCCCACTCTCCCCGCGCTCCCTCTCGTCAGAGGAGACAGGGAGGTGAGAACATGCAGGGGGTTCCCAGGCTAGGAAGGAGAAGCGGCCGAGAAAGGAGGGGAAGAGGGCTTGCTGGCTCTGACCTGCCTCGTCCGTCCCGCCAGCACCACGCCAGCCTGGTCATGAGCCAGGACCCCTACAAAGTGACCACTTTTGAGAAGCGCTATGCGGTGGCCATGCAGGAGCTGTGGAGGGACGCGGGCATCCGGGCCTGCTACGAGCGCCGGCGGGAGTTCCACCTGCTCGACTCAGCAGTGTAGTGAGTCTGGGGTCAGGGTGGTGGGAGCGGGGTGCAGGGGGCGGGGGCTTTGGGTGAGGTAGTCACTGGGCACAGCTACAGGCTGAGATGCAGCCGGCGGAGACCGCGTCCCAGGACTGCACCTGGACAGAGGGGGTCCCAGGGGCCAGCTCCCACCCTAGGGACCTGCTGTGGGGCACGCTCTGGCTGTGGGATGGTTGTGCCTCAGGGTAACATCATCCCTGGGGTGACATTGTCCCTGGGGTGATCCTGTTTTGGGGGTGATGTTATTCCTGGGGTGAGGCTGCCCGAGGTAACACCATTTCTGGGGTGATGCACATGGTGATCTGTCCTGGGCATGATCTGGGCGCCTTGGGTGATTTGCTCCCAGGCCATCACTATTCTGGGGGCAATGCCACTCTTGGTGACAGCCCTCCAAGGTGACACCCCTCTGCAGTGTTGCTGGTCTATGGTCACGCCGCTCCCAGCCGCTCCTCCCAGTGCTCCCAGGGCCTCTGGGTGGTGTTCCTGGGCCCCAGACCCCAGAGATCCTGGCCCCTCCTGGGGGGGTCTCCCCCAGCAGGGTCCTCACTGGGCCCTGGGTGGTGGTTCTGAGAAGCCAAGGGAGGCTGCAGGGCTGGGCTCAGGACTCGTTGCTCCCCAGCTACCTGTCGGACCTGGAGCGCATCGCCGAGGAGGGCTACATCCCCACAGCCCAGGACGTGCTTCGCAGCCGTATGCCCACCACCGGCATCAACGAGTACTGCTTCTCTGTGCAGAAAACCAACCTCCGGTGAGTGCAGCTGGCAAAGTGGGGAGCGCTTCCTGGAGGAGGGGCAAAGCAGCTGGGGCCCTGTGGGATGAGTAGGAGTTTCCTAGGACCAGCCGTCTATGGGCTTCTAGCCTAAAGGAGGCAGAGCTGGACATGGACACCTCCAGCCTCCCATATAGTCAGGACTAGAACCTGGAAGAGCCCAGAGTGAGGCACCAGAGCTCTGGGAGGGAAAGTCTTCCTGGAGGAGGGAACATTAGTATTAGGGTATCAAAGGATTAGTAGGAGTTCACTAGTGCCAGCTCTTGGGAGGTTGTTGTGCAGGAGAAGCAGAGGCTGTGTGATCAGAGCTATGGCCAGAGGGATGGATTTGCGGCTGGGGAAGCTCAGAGGGTGGTCCCTCTAGTGGTCCATAAGGGATCCATAAGTGGTCCATAAGGACTGGGGGTCTGGGGAGTTAGGAGGCAGGAGGCACGGTCCAGACGGGAAGGGTTGGTAAGGGCCAGGGAGGTGGCCTTGGGGATGGAGGTGAGGGGATGGTGCAAGACATGTTTCTGACGTAGAATGGGCAGGACTAGATAAGCTTGAGACCTACCGCAGGGAGTTGGAAATGACTCCCAGTTTTCCCAGGAAGGTGACCGGGTGGAAGGTGCAGTCACCGCGGCAGCAGTGGCGTGGGGGTGTTAGACAGGACAACCGGGTCTGAGGGGTCTGGGGCGCTGGGGAGGCGTCTGGGTACGCGCAGGCCTGAGCTGGCAGACAGAGCTGAGGTGGCCGGTGCCGCACGGTGGCGTGCAGGTAGGGTGCTGGCCAGAGTCAAAGTCCAAGGAAAGGTCAGGAAGACCACAGCGGGAGAAGAGACTTCTGGGATGGGCAGTTAGAGGGTCGTCAGTGACCCGAACAAGCTCCGTGTCTGCCGGCTGGTGGCAAGGAGCTGTGGCGAATGCAGGTGGTGTCTGGGCACAGGGTTTGTGATCGGCCCTCCCCCCCCTGCAGAGTGTCTCACGTCCCCGAGCTGCCTCCACCCAACCCACACACGCTGCTCTGGCCTCTGCGATAGTCCTTTCCAGGGAGGGTCATCATTTAGCTGTTTTCCGTGGGTCCCCTTCACTAGGTGGAGAGTCCCACAGCATTGGGGGCTGAGTTTCAGCCTTCCGCTTCATAGTGATGATCAGAACGAGGTCAGAGTGGAAGTCTGCAAATGCGGCAGGATGGCCGGAAAGATGGGAGGAGGAGCGTGTGGGTGGATGGACGGATGGATGATGGATGGATGCATGGGTGAGCGGATGGACGGGCAGACAAATGGATAGATCGATGAATGGACAGGTGTGTGGGTGGAGGATGGGTGGGTGGGTGGGTGGATGGATGGGTAATAGTTCTGGAGTGAGGGTAAAGGCTGGGGACATTCACAAGGGAGGCTGGGCTGGGGGAGGGGATTTTTAGGCGGGAGACGAGTATGTTCTAAGGCTGAGGAGAGAGGGCAGTCGGTGGAGCGAGGGTGCAGAGACGACAAACTCTGAGATGGGGGGCTGGCACACAGTGGACCCCACCTCTGTCTCAGTCTCCAGAGCCCCACTCTCACCCATGGCACCCACATTCTCCTCTGGATATGGGGGTTTGAGGGAGTCTAACGCATGAGAGGGGTGGGTTTCTGGGATCAGGAGCCACAGACACCAGCTCCTTTCCCCTCCCACCCTGGGGCAAGTCCCTTCTTGCTCTGAGGTTTCTGGCATTTCCTGTTGGCTGCCTGAGTACCAGTCGCGTCCTGGGGAAATGACGCAGGGCTTGTTATCTGCGACCCGCATTTCTTAGAAGGTGGCACAGGAAGGCAGGAGGGCCCGGGCTTCTGTTGTGGTGAGTGAGGGTGGAGGCGCTGCTCTCACCTTGGGCCACGCACAGAGAGGGTGGTGTTCGCCACTGGACAGTCTCCTGGCCAGCCAGATCACAGCACCCCATTTCACTAATACGGAAACTGAGTAGTGCAGGTGGTCTGTGGTTTCCCCCGGGTCAGCCAGTCAGAACCAGGACAGATTCCGTATCTGTCCTCCACCATGAGGGTAGGAATCAGGCAACCCAGTGCACTAGAAGCTTGGGGAAGTCCCCTCTCCTTCCTGTACCTCAGTTTCCTCATCTGTATAATGGGTGCAATAGTGATCCCACTGAGGGGTGAAATGCAGTAACACACAAGTGCTGTGGGCCCAGCGGCTGGCCCTGTTGTTCTTGCTGACTGTCACGTTGATCTTGGCATGTCCCAGATGTAACTGGGGTCTGGGTGCCCCATTGTGGGGTTCCGATTAAGCCTGAGCTCTGTAAGGGCTCTTTGGTAGGATTGTCGATGTCGGGGGCCAGAGGTCGGAGCGCAAGAAGTGGATCCATTGCTTTGAGAACGTCATCGCCCTCATCTACCTGGCCTCGCTGAGCGAGTACGACCAGTGCCTGGAGGAGAACAACGAAGAGGTGAGGGGCCCCCCTGAGAGGCTCTTCTCCCCCCGGGGCCCAGGGACCCCTGGCCGGGTGGGGGGCCTCGGTGCCACTCTCCAGCAGCCTGAGGGTGTCTGCTGAGGCTCGGAACCTCACGTTCCCTTCTTTCACGATTGGATGAGCCCCAAAACTCTGATCCACAAGCATTTGTGTTGTCAGCGACATGCACAAGTGGCATGTGTGCACCCCCCATATACACACAGGGACAGTCACGTGCTGAGGCACCCCCCTCCCCACGCCAGCACAGTGCAAACTGTCCTGGAAATACTGTCACACGGAAGGGACAGAGTCACACCTTGAATCGGAAACGCTGTGAGGATCACTTTGTGTGACGTCTTCTAGTTCACACCCAGCATGGAGGTCCGGCACGCTGTCACCTCTGACACACGCATGTTGAGTGGCTGAAGTGTCACATGGGCAATTTGTGCATTTGAGAGGGAGATGTTACAATTCTGACCGTCAGCCTAAATGAGACAGAACGCATCTGAGGTTGTTCGGACAGAGCTCTTGCTCGAGTCCAGAGACAGGAGATGTCCTAGGTCGCTCAGGCGGCTGTAACAGGGGACCACAGATGGCAGGCAGCGTAGGGCTGAGACGACAGAAAAGAACTCCCTTCCGGTTCTGGAGACTGGAGTCTGAGACCCAGGCGTCAGCAGGCTGGTTCCTCCTGCGTCCCCGGGGACTATGATCTGTCGTCCCATGCTCCCCCGATGGCTGGTGACTCTGGCAGTCCTCGGTGTCCCCTGACTCGTGGGTGCATTGCCCTGCCACTGCCTCCATCGTCACGTGGCTTCCTCCCTGTGCGCGCCTGTGTCCTAATTTCCCCTTTTTATAAAGACACCACTCCTTGGAGTCAGGGCCAGCTACCCAATTTCAGTATGACCTCTTCTTAACAAATTACATCTTTAAAGGCCCTGCTTCCCAATAAGGTCATGTTCGGAAATTCCAGGTGGACATGAGTTTGGGGGGACACTAGTCAAATCAGGTGAGGCACAAAACTATGTCGGGCACACAGAGGCGGTTAGCTGCACGCCCTCAGACCCATCTCCATGTTGCGGGGAGGGCTCCTGTTCGGCCACGCTGGCCGGCCTGAGCCATGAGCCGCCTCCGCCCCCCAACCCAGAACAGGATGAAGGAGAGTCTGGCCCTCTTCGGCACGATCCTGGAGCTGCCCTGGTTCAAAAACACATCCGTCATCCTCTTCCTCAACAAAACCGACATACTGGAGGAGAAGATCGCCACCTCCCACCTGGCTACCTACTTCCCCAGTTTCCAGGGTGAGTGTTCTAGAACTTCCAGTACCTGCCTCCCACAAGCAGCTCCCAAGAATGATGCCCATCCAGGCCTTACCCCAGTCTGGAGTCAGCGGAGTTTCAAATATGATTGGATGGGCCTGAGTTCCAGACCCAGGTCTTTTCACTGCCTGGCCCGTCTCTGTCATCAGTTTTCCCATCTGTAGAATGGGGATACATAACAGATACCTTCAAGCTCGATGTGATTGCTTCAAGTGGAGGATTCTCCAAGATGTATATTATAGATCTTGTGCGGGCGGGTCCGCTGGACAGAGTTCATTGTCATAAAGCATACCCAGAAGGCGTCGCAACTATTTCCAGAATCTGCTTAGATTTTTGACACTTTTCTTTTTCTAACTTTCATTGTTGGCTCATTTGTACTTAATTGTATAGTGATTTTATATATTTTTTATTTTTAAAGATTTTATTTATTTATTTTTAGAGAGAGGGGAAGGGAGGGAGAAAAAGGGAGAGAATCATCAATGTGTGGTTGCCTCTTGCATGCCCCCAACTGGGAACCTGGCCTGCAACCCAGGCATGTGCCCTGACCGGGAATCAAACCAGAGACCCTTTGGTTCGCATGCCAGTGCTCAGTCCACTGAGCCACACCAGCCAGGGCGCAATTTTATGTTTATATCTTTGACATCTGAACCAGTCTTTCCAAAGCACACGGCCCAGTTTTCAGTGATGCAGCAATCCTCTTTTCATGCTGTGCTTGTAGCTAATAAATTTGTGTAGTGTCTCGTTAAGTGTGCATTAACCAGGAAGAATACAGCAGGTTTGGGGACAAACCTTGGGTGCGCCCCGAGGCACAAAGCTGAAGGGTCCAGGCTAACTAGAGCGGAGCACAGCGAGTGCTGGGCACCATGCAGTGTGTCTTCCAGAGGAGACCTGGGCTTCGGTGAGTCCAGGGCAGGACGTGCCAGCTAGTGCTTTCCCCAGAGTACCTCTGTGAAGGTGAAGGGAGCTGCTAGAAGTGTCGCCGCTGAGTCACAGACACCCCACAAAGTTAGGGGCTTAAACCAGCCATTTCACTTTCCTTACGATTGTGGGGGGTCAGGAATCTGGGGAAATTTGAGGCTGGGAAGTTCACCTGTGGCATCAGTTGGGGTGGCTGGGACTGGAGATGCACTTCGGAGACTCTGTGCTCCTCCCCCTCCCTCCCCCTCCTCCGTTTACTGCCCCCCTCTCTCTCTTTCTCTCTCTTTCTTTCTCTTTCTTTCCCTCTCTCTCCCTCTATCCGGTGTCTGCTAATCCAGGGTTAGTTCACAGCATGGCTGTCTCAGGATGGTCAGACTTTGGCCCAGGTGGAATCCTCTGCCCCTGACCTTGCCTCAGAAGTCCCAGACGGTTACTTCTGCTTTATTCCATTGGTCAGGAACATCAGTCAGGTCAGCCCAGACTCGGATGGAAGCAAACAGAGTCTACGTGATGGTAGCCAAATGGCATGCGCCTACGGGGGGAAGAAGGAGGCAATGGCGGCCGCCTTGGAGACCAGCTATCTTTGTTTTCCTGGGCTGCTGTGACCCATGGCCTTGGAACAGGGGCCTGGAAACAACAGACGTTTGTTCCCTCACAGCCCAGGAGGCTGGAAGTGTGAAACCAAAGTGCTGGCCAGTGAGTGGCCAGGCAGGGCCGGTTTCTCTGGGGGCTCTGAGGAGGCTCTGGCCCAGGCCGCTCTTCTGGCGTCTGGTGGCTGCCTGCCATCCTTAGCTTCCTTTGACTTGTAGACGCATCACCCCAGTCTCTTCCCCTTTCAGCACTTGGCCTTCTCTCTGTCTCTGGTTATCTCTTCTCTTTTTATAAGGACACAAGTCACAGAATGTGGGGCCCAACCTGAGTATGACCTCATTTCAACTGAACTCATTACATCTGCCCTACATCCAAATACGATCATATTCTGAGGTTCTCAGTGGACATGAATTTGGGTGAGGAGACACTGTTCACCCCAATATACAGTCAGACGTGGTAGATGAAGCCCTTAGGTCACGTGTACTAAGCTTTGGTGGCATCACCATGGTTGTGACCCTCTGACCTTGTCAGAGCCCAAGCAGCCAGTCTCAGCCAATCATACCCACAAAACTCAGGGTCTGGGTGACAGATGTCAACAACTTGTTCCAGGATGGTGGCCTGGACACCCCTCACCCCCATTCTCAGCTGAGCAGCACTTGGAGAGTTGGGGAACAGGGATAAAGTAGATAGTTTTGAGGATTATTTGTTTTCTTTAAGTTCAAAGGGAACCCCCACGACTCATCCATCTTTCCCAGCCAGAGGCTGGAGCACCCAGTATACTAACCTTCTGGCTCTTGGCCTTTCCCTCCTGTGTGCTAAATGATACTGGTGACAGTGACTAACCAGTAACAACTAGTGTCTGTAGCACCGATGGAAGCATCCTTACATATTGACTTAATCTTCATTAAAAAAAAAACAACAACCCTGTGAAGTAAAACTCATTCTTCTCACCACTCTAGAGATGGGGAAACTGAGGCATGGAGAGGTACAGTCACTTGCCAGAAATCATACAGCCAGTGATAGTCAGGATTCTAACCCAGGCCCTCCGGATCCAGAGATGGCAGTGCTATGCCTAGCTGCCTTTCTGAGAGAGTGGTGATAGCACCCACTCACGAAGCCTTCTGATCACTGAGCACGGAGCCTTGGAGATGACTGCTTTGAGTCCTCACAGCTCTGGGAGACCTGGGACTATTCTGATCCTGATTTTACACACGAGGAAACTGAGGCTCACAGAGGTTTCATGGGTTAAGACATGACCAAACTAGTACGTAGCAGAGCCAGGCACTGGGCCCTTAACTCACGTTGTGCTTTCACCATAAGGGCGTGTGCTGCCAGTGCTGCCATCCCTCCCCTTCTCTTGGCCTCAGTTTCCTGTCTGTACTGACATCTGTCTCTGCAGCTCTCAACCCAGCAAAGAGAGAGGGTCTCTCTATCACAAATTTCGACCGGAGTCCCAGAGCTCAGGCTCATTGGTACATCCCATGTCATGTGACCCACACAGCCGATGCTCCCATTGGCTGAGCTGGAGTCACGTGTCCCGCTAGATGGCGTCCTCCTGCTGGGACTGTAGTGGATGAGTGGTCTCTGGGGTCTCTGTCACCCTAAGTTGCCCATATTGGGAAGAGGGTCCCCATCTGCCTCAGAAGCCTTGTGCCCTGACTGTCCTCACCTCTGCTCTCTAGGCCCGAAGCAGGACGCAGAGGCAGCCAAGAAGTTCATCCTGGACATGTACACTCGCATGTATACCAGCTGCGTGCACGGTGCTGATGGAGGCAGGAAGGGTCCACGTTCCCGACGTCTCTTCAGCCACTACACTTGCGCCACCGACACCCAGAACATCCGCAAAGTCTTCAAGGACGTGCGGGACTCAGTCCTGGCCCGCTACCTCGACGAGATCAACCTGCTGTGACCTTGGCCCCGCCTTCCTGGTCGGATGAAAGTGTGGCAGGCAGGACATACAGGCGGGGCCAGAGCTCAGAAAGCCGAGACACCCCACTCGTCGCTCCTGGCCCAGGTGGTGGGAGGGCCACGAATGAGTTGGGGACGGAAAGCCAGTCGCTGCCTCTCCTCTGCCCCTCTCCAGGACAGCCTTTGGGCTACTCTCCAGACTCAGTTTACCTCCCCGGAAAAAGCACAATGGCCACTTGGGATGCCAGGGTGAAAGAAAAGGTGAACAGAGCAGGGGATGGAGGACTTGGGTGGGTGGGCTCTCTTAGGATCCCCACCTCTGGGTGTGTCCCCTCCTGGGCAGGAGTTTGGAATCCCCCATGGGTGATGCACACCCCTGGGGATGGGGCTGTGGTCCTTCAGGCCAGGGACCGGGCTCTGGCGCCCCCTAGCGGGCAGGAGGCGGTATCTCAACCTGAAGCCTGAGTACCTCAGGTACCTCCCAAAGGAAGGTGTACTTTCTAAGAGTCGTTATCCTGTTCAGGATTGCAGATGAGGGAAACTGAGGCCCACAGGCATTCCCCCTCCTTCCCAGGCTGGGGGCCGGGTGCACTGCATCTTAATACTTACTGTATTTATTCCCTCACCTGCAGGGCCCTTGGCAGGTTGAACATTAAAGAAATGATATTATGGAAATCTGTGATTTCTTAGGGGTGTCCTATGTATCCTCCCGCTGTCCTTTCTCAGATGTCCTGTCCAAGATGGGATGGAAACATGGAGAAGGAAGGGGGAAAGTTCTACTTGGTCACACACTGGTGCTGGGCAATTGACCCAGAGCTCTCAGGGAAGGTGTGCACTTTGAGCCCCGAGGTGGAACCCCACCCCCTCCCCTGGAGGGAGACATTTAAGCCCACCCCATGTTGCTGCTCACCCAAAACACAGCACAGCTCCCACCCATCTCTGAAGATGAAGATAATGGCTCCACTTATGCCAGGTCGTGGGGTCCCAGCATCCTCAAGGATTCTCTGTGTAGCACAACCCCTACTGTTCTCATTTTTCAAATGTCTTAAAATTTGATTTTAGAGAGATAGAGAAGGGGAGGAGAGAGGGAGATTTGTTTTTCCACTTATTGGTGCATCACTGGTTGACTCGTGTGTGTGTCCTGATCAGGGATGGAGCCTGCAACTTTGGTGTGTCCAAAGGACGCTCTAGCCAATGAGCTACCCGGCCAGAGCCCTCTCACTTCCGTTTCACAGATGAGGAAACTGAGGCACGGAACAATTTGCCTAGGGTCACGCACCTGGGAGATCACAGAGCCAAGATTCTATTCATTCAACAGGCTTTTTTTTTTACTTAAAAAATTTATGTTTAAAATAGTTAAATTTACAGAAAAATTGTGAGAATAGTACAGAGAGTTGCCTTATAAAAAAACCACCCAATTTCTCTACTATTAACCTCTTACATTAACATGGTACTTTTTGTATAATTAATGAATCAATATTGACACACTATTAACTAACATTTATACTCTATTCGGATTTTCTCGATTTTTCCATAATATCTTTTTTTGTGTCCCAGGACCCCACATGACATTTAGCCATCACAGCTTCTTAAGCTCCCCCTGGCTGTGATGTTTCCCAGACTTGCCCTGTTTTTGATGACCTCGACGGTTTCGAGGAGTGCTGGTATTTTTCTGGGCGCTGCTGTAACGAAGTACCACAGACCGCATGGCTTAGATAGACTGGGTGGCTTAAAATGACAGAAATGTGTTCTCCCAATTCTGGAGGCCAGAGTCTGGGATCCAGGTGCCAGCAGGGCTGCACTCCCTCTGTGGGCTCCAGGGCAGACTCCTTCCTCCCTCTTGCAGCCTCTGACTGTCCCAGGCATCCCTGGGCCAGTGGCCAGTCAAATGGCTCTGTTCCTCAGTCCCCTTGGCAGGACCCCGGGTGGCCTTAAGAGTTCGTGGTTCTGGTCCACGAGGTGCCCTTCGGCTTGTCCTGTACCTCCCTGGCGCCAGCTCCGCACTCGGCTCTTTCTCCAAGGAGCCCCGATTCCTTGTAATGAAACGTGTTCAGAGAGCATCCCCTGGCCACGAAGTTCGGAAATCCCTCTTTTCTTCATCGTCTTTTTATTTTGAAAATAATTTGAAGCTACAGAAGTTGCAAAACTATTGCAATGAACTCCCATCTACCCTTCATCTAGGTCAGGGTTCAGCAAACTATGTGCTCAATGCCTGTTTTTGTAAATAAAGTGTTATTAGCACACAACCACACCCGTTCATTTACATGCTGTGTCTGGCAGCATTTCCTAACTTTTGGTTTGTATTTCTCTATAAACATAATATAAAAGTGCGTTATATATTCCATAGAGAAGGTACCCATTCTTTTTCTTAACTTTCTAACTAATTTGAGAGTAAATTGGAGATAAAATTGTGCACCTTTACTCCAGAACACTATGTATTCTTATGAAAACAACCTTCTGCAGATGGTGGTGGTCAAATTCAGGAACTGCAGCATGCGTACAGTATTATCTAATACACGGCCCACATGAAAATGTCCTCACTGTTGTCTTTTACAGCAACTTTCCCCATTCCAGCCTCTCGTCGGGGACCACTCAGCGCATTTAGTTTGGTGTGTCTTGGGTCTCCTTTTATCCAAGGCAGGCTTAGCCATTTTTTTGTCTTTCATGACCTTCCCGACCTTGACTTTTCGAAGAGTACAGGCCAATTATTCGGTGGGACGTCCTGGGCGTGTGCCTGTCTGCTGCGTCTCTGTGATCCGATGTGGGCTGTGTCCTCTGACAGGGATGTCACGGAAGGGCTGCGTCCCCCTCAGTGTCCTATCAGGAGGCCGGGCATGCTCATTCGGTTCATTTCCGGGTACGTTTTAACTTGGATCTCTTGGTTAGGGTGACATTCACCAGGTTTCCCAAGTAGGCTATTTTTCTATTTGTAATTAATATGTACTCTGTAGGAAGATACTTCAATATTATGCAAATACCCTGCTCCCCAACAAAACTGCAGCCCAATAATTTCAGCAACAATTCTCGCCCAGATCAGGGATGGCTCTGACGGTCACATGAGTGGTTTTTCCGACTGTTATGGGACAGACACCTGAGAATGGAATTGCTGGGTCATATGGAAAGGTTTTTTCCCATTTTTTTTTATTGTGGTAAATTACCCATAATATAAAGCGACCATTTTAACCGTTTTAGGTGAATCGTTCAGTGGCATTAAGCACATGCACAGTGTCGTGCAGCTGTCACCGCCTCCCAGCTCCAGAACTTGTCATCTCGTAAAACTGAAACCGTCCCAGTCCAACCCTGGCTGCCCACCCCCTCCCCCAGGCCCTGGCCCCCACCATCTACTTCCTGTCTCTCTCATTTGGAGATCGTGCATTGCTGGTGCTCATGTAGCTGCACGTGGGGCCCGCAGCCCCAGAGGCTGGCTCTTGCGTCTCTGGGACAGGTCCCCATCCTTCTCGGAGCACTTTCTTGCTTTCTGACACACCAACATGTTCCAGGCTCATTTTGCACACTTCCTGCCTCCTTTTTTTTTTTTTTTTTTTGAAGGGGGTGATATTCAGAAGCCAAGATCTGGGTGTTTGATGCTTCCATTGCTGATGGGGAGTTTCGGTGGACAGCGTCAGGAAACAGATTTTTGTTTGAATCATGAGTTCACACTAGTGTGACGGGTACCGGCCAGCAGTATCCATCGCTGCTGCAGGTGCTCGAAACACGAGAAAACATACACATGGACGACGAGTCCTGTGGAGGAATAGGAACGGCATGGCCACTCTCTCTAGTGGAGAGCACCCCGAGTTGCCGCCTGAGTAGTTTGTGGATTACAGTCTGGCAGGGAAGATCAAAAGGAATAGGTGGTTTTCAAAGGGACTGGCAGAACTCCCGCTGGGATTCTGGGCAGAGAGTTGGGGGTTTTATCACTTAAAAAGACTACAGGACCTAAAAGGCCAGTTTCGTTTCCTGCCCATGCCTTCATATTCTAATTAAAGAGCATCCTCTGGCAAGCAGATCTCACAAGATCTTGCATATTCTATGTCCCGGGTCTGATTACCTCGGGGGTCCACCGACTCTGGTGTGGACTGCACCGCCCCTGTTATTTCCACAGGCCTGAGCTGGGCAGAGGAGACAGAGGCAGCCAGGAGACTTGGATTTCTCACAACTAAGAACAAGGACTCAGGCTTTGTCAAAGCCGAGGGGACAGGGGTCGATGTCGATCATCCCTTCATTTCCACAGTCCCCCAAGTCCTTCCCTGAGGCCTTCACGTGATCATGCCTGTCTTAGGTGATTCCCCCCTTGGGAAATCTTACCTGTCATTGGCTAACTGATCAAGTATTGGGGGCCAGGCAAGGAGTAGAAGCAGTGCTCCTGCCAGGGGCATAAGCTTGTCTCCTTAGTGGCTCCTGGTCCAGAGGTCTCTCACTCAGCCTTAGCCATGGGGGGTTACAACTTCCTGAGACCAGGCAGGGTGGACCCCAACACACCGGCACTTCCCATCCTGCTCTACTCCTGTGAGGTTCTTCTGTGTCCTCCCATGGCACATCTACACCCCACCCCCAGGGAGACCTGGCTTTTGCTGTCGATGCACTCGCTACTGCGCTCGGCCCCACAATGTGCAGGGCGGGAGTTTCAGAATCACTATCTCCTTTCCACTCTCGAAAGCAAATCTAAATGAAGTTCAAAAGCTCTTTGCAGTTCCTTTTGTCTTTAGAGCTAGTGCTGTGTCCAAAGTTTGTATGGGCTGGTTCTTTTCTATTTCTGGGTGATTATATTTTTCATGTGAAATGCAATTACTTTAATTTCTTTTCTACTTCCATCCCATCTTAAAGCTCTTTTTCTCCATCCTTGCTGATTTAATTTCATTGTGGACTCTAGGAAGCATTCACTGAGTTCAAAAACTATGCAAAGAGGGACACTCAGAGGGTGTCATTCCCTCTCTTCAATTTCAGTCCCATCCACTTCTTCCATAAGCAACCAGTCTCATTGGTTCCTGGTTTATCTTTCCTGAGTTTGTTTTTCACAAACAAATAAGTATGTGTATATTTTATCCCACTTCTTTATTACACAAAAGGTACCATACGACCTAAGCTCTTTTGTACTTCCCCCCCACTTAACAATATGGCCTGGAAATGACACCATTCCATTCACAGAGGTCGTCTGTGTCCTTTTTCACAGCTGTGTAGTGCTCCACTCTGGTGCAGCAGGATTTATCCATCTCACTTCTGTGTATAGGCATTTGGCGTGCTAAAGTTTTTCATTTACAGACAACAAGGGTGACCTTCTGCGTGCTAACCTGCATATTGTTGGAGCTGTGTCTTCAGGGCAGATTCTAGAAGGAGCTTGTGCTTCTGCTGCACAGAGATGACTGTGAGATTAAAAGAGATGTGATGTGTGTGTGGCCTCTCTCTGCGGTGAGTGGTTCAAGGGAGAGGTCACTGTTGGACAGTTCTGCCTCAGTAGTCACACCGCTGCCTCCCAGTGTTGTGCGTTGCTCCTGAACTTGCTCTCTGGGCCAGGGGTCAGGGGCTCAGCTGGGGCTGGGGTTTCATCGAGGTTAGGGCTCAACTGGAGTTGGGGCTCAGCTTGGGTTTAGGGCTCGGGGGTCTCACCCAAGGTCATGTATCAGGGTCATGGTCAGCTTATGGTCACAGGCTCATAGTTCAGCCTGGAATCAAAGTTCAGTCCATAATCAAGGCTCAGCCTGGGACCGGGCTCAGTCAAGGCCAGGATTCAGCTTGGGATCAGAGCTCAGCCCAAGATCAAGGCTCAGCCTGGGATTAGAATTCTGTCCAAGGTCCAGGCTCAGCCCGGAATCAGGACTCAATCCAGGATACAGGCTTAGCCTCAGAACACGCAGTGTGTCTCTGTTAATGCGCCCGAGTCAGGTGGCCCCTTGTGTAGCCAGCAATGAGGGTCAGCGGTCCCACTGCACAGGGTGGTGCCAGGAAAGACCTGGCTGAGCTTCCCGCCTTACCCCCGGCCTCAAACCCCAGCTGCGTGCACAGCTGCCTGGGTGGCTCCTCCCCCAAACCTCCCCTTTAGGACCGTTTTTTGCTTGTCACCTCCAGTGACAATATGCTACCACCTCCTAAGGCAGTGCCTTGCTCTGAACTTCCCTGTAACGGTCCTGCTGCCACAGCTGAACAGCGAACAAAGACAGGAGTGCTGGGCAGGGATCACGGTCACCTGGACTGCCCTCCCTGCCTTTCGTGTGGGCCTGGCAAGGGAGACTCCTCCCCCTGAGACCCCAGGGCAGGGCTGTGCTTCACCCCCTCGAGTCCCTCAGGACCACTCTACTCCCCCCAATTCATTTTTTATTTTAAAATTTTTTAGAGAGAGGGGAAGCGAGTGAAAAAGAGTAGCGGGGGAGAAGATTGATCGGTTGCCTCTCAGATGCTCCTGACTTGGGACTGAACCTGCAGCCCAGGCCTGTGCCCGGACCAGGAATTAAACCGGCGACCTTTCACTTAGTGGGACGATGCCCAATCGACCGAGCCACACCAGTCGGGGGTGCCTCTCCCACTTCTCACCCCCACTTACTGCCTGCACCTCAGTCCTCAGCCACTTCAGGCTCAGAAAGCTCGAGCTCGGTCAGACGGACATGGGTGGGGTGGGGCGGCCCCCGTTTTTCCTGTGAATTCCCCCTCCCAGAGGTGAGGGACTGCCCTGGGTGGGGGCTCCCAACTCTGCTCCTGGTAGGGCCTCGCTCAGGGGGCAGAAGAGACAGCCAAAAACTCTGGTAAGGAGGGTCTGGACCAAGAGATCCCTGTGTCTGTAGGTGGTCACCTCCCACTGTGTGACGGCTGGTGCCACCTCTTCAGGCCTCAGTTTCCTCTTCTGGGACAGGTGTACTGCAGGTCTGTTTTGGCCCTGTCATGAGGATAAAACGGGGTGCGCCTGAATCTCAACAAGGTGGCCGGCAGTGCTTATGTTCATGTGTGGGCAGTCACTTAACACACACTTATTAAGCACCTGCTATGTTCCAGGCAGTTGGAGCAGTTGGGGAGAGAGTGATCAAATCGCCCCATCCTGGAGGGAGTAGCCAGAAGGGGTGGCAAGTGCTTTTTGGGGCACATTTTCCCTCCCTCTGGGCCCCCACACCCCTGGGCTTTCGAGGAATGGGGGCGGGACAGAGGCTGGGGTCTTGCTGCAGGGGTGGCTACAGCGCCCTCCTGAGTCCCGGGGTTAGAGCAGACCGTTGGGATGCCCCTCCCCTCCTGGGCCTCACCCCCACCCTGGGGGTACCTCGAACATAACAGGAAATTTCAAATAACAGGAAACCAAGACCAGGCAAGGCAGCAGCTCCACCCTGCCCGGGGCCAGCCACCCCGGGCCTCAGTCTGCCCTGGGGGACTGCCATGAATGCCACAGGGTCCCCAGTGGAGGCCCATGAGGCCTGCCAGCAGCTGGCGGCCGGTGGGCACAGCCAGCTCATTATCCTGCACTACAACCACTCGGGCCGGCTGATGGGGCGGGCGGAGACCGCCGGGAGCCTGGGGGTCCTGCAGGGGCTCTTTGTGGCCGTGAGCTGTCTGGTGGTGCTGGAGAACCTTCTGGTGCTAGTGGCCATTGTGACTCGAATGCAGTCCCGGCGCTGGGTCTACTACTGCCTGGTCAACATCACGCTGAGCGACCTGCTCACCGGCTTGGCCTACCTGGTCAACGTCCTGCTGTCCGGGGCCCACACCTTCCACCTGGCGCCCGCCTCCTGGTTCCTGCGGGAGGGTGTCCTCTTCATGGCCTTGGCCGCATCCACCTTCAGCCTGCTTTTCACTGCCGGTGAGCGCTTCGCTACCATGGTTCGGCCCGTGGCCGAGAGCGGGGACACCAAGAGGGGCCGGGTCCTGGGCTTCATTGGGCTCTGCTGGCTGCTGGCCGCCCTGCTGGGCCTCCTGCCCCTGCTCGGCTGGAACTGCGTGTGCTCCTTCCAGAGCTGCTCCAGCCTGCTCCCGCTGTACTCCAAGGCCTACATCCTCTTCTGTGTGGTCATCTTTGCCTGCATCCTGGCCACCATCATGGTGCTCTATGGGGCCATCTTCCGGGTGGTGCGGGCCAATGGGCAGAAGGCCTCGCGCCCCCCGGTCCGCCGCAAGGCCCGCCGACTGCTCAACACGGTGCTCATGATCCTGGTGGCTTTCGTGGTCTGCTGGGGTCCGCTCTTCGGCCTGCTGCTGGCTGACATCTTTGGCTCCAACGTCTGGGCCCAGGAGTACCTGAGGGGCATGGACTGGATCCTGGCGCTGGCTGTGCTGAACTCAGCTGTCAACCCGATCATCTACTCTTTCCGCAGCCGGGAAGTCTGCCGGGCCGTGCTGGGCTTCCTGTGCAGTGGGTGTCTCAGGCTGGGCCTTCGAGGGCCTGGGGACTGCCTGGCCCGGGCTGCTGAGGCCCACTCTGGGGCTTCCACCACTGACAGCTCGCTGAGACCCAGGGACAGCTTCCGGGGCTCCCGGTCACTCAGCTTTCGGATGCGAGAGCCACTGACTAGTATCTCCAGTGTGAGGAGCGTCTGAGCCACAGCTGGGGAAGATGGTCCAGCTGCCAGTGCCTGCCCCCAGAGGCCCTCCTCCTGGCCTGGAGGAGGCCCACGATGGGGGGCCGGGAGCCTGGGAGCGCGCGCGCAGAGAGGCGGCAGGCAGGCCCAGACGGAGAGGATGGAGCAGGAAACCAGCCGGGGGCCCCAAGGCCCTGTGTTCCTCCTCACAGCCCCAGGTCTGCTGGTGTTTCACGGTCTTGGAGAAGGAGGTGACTGCTCGCTGGAACAGAGAGCGCCCTGGCGTGGAGACAGTTGGGGTTACTATGTCTGCCCCAGCTCCTCTCTGGATTTCAGTGGGACTCCCAGGCAATGAGGGGTAGGCTGTGGGGTCGGTGCCCTAGCAACATGGAAATTCAATGATGGTATGAGATGTCTCAGCCTTCCTCTTATTCACGTTTTTGCAGAGGGACGATCGCATGAGGGCTGCAGGTCTGCTGGGAGCCTGCATCCTTGGATGCGGCCAGTGAAGGCCTTGGGTCTGTGTGCTCGGGGGAGCATGTGGTTGTGAGAGTGGGTGGTGTGTGTGTTTGAAAAAGGGAGAGGAGGGGGGCAGTGGTACATGGGCTGCACCTCTGTGCTCGCACAGACCCTTCCTGGTGCGGCAGGCCTCGGGCCTGGGGGGTGTGTGCGCACACCCCTGCGGGTGACTGGACCGCTTTGCTGAAGTGTTTGAGCGTTACGAGGCTAGCAGGGTGGAGGTCAGCAAGAGTTGACACCCGCCCCTTCTCGCTCACTCACTTCCCCTTTCCTGCCCCATCTGTCATCTTGGTCCCCCCCGCAGCCTCCTTCCTCCACCCCTGGGCTCCGCCTGGCTTGGGAACCCAGCCTGCAGGCCAGCAGAGGGGCAGCAGCCTGGCTCGGCTGACCTCAGGAAACGGGCTCACTCTCTAGAGTTCCCTTCAGCACTAACAGCCTCATCCTCATCCTCGCCCTTCCCCATCTAAAGTGGGCTGCTAACAGGCAGAACCCACGGCCTGAGATTGTTGTTACTTGCTTGGCGTTCGCCACAGTAAGTGGCATCCATGCATTCGACAAAATGTCAGGTGATGGTGAAAGGTTCTCCATCTGTGTGGGCCGGTACAGGAGCCCCACGTGGCTATTGAGCACTCAGTAAGGGGCCAGTGCAACTGAAGAACTGAACTTGGAGTTAATTTGCATTTAAATGGCCCTTGGGACTTGTGGCAGCCATGTTGGACCGCACAGGTGCGTATCCCCCACACGTGGCCACCTTTGGCTGGGCGGATGTTCTTTTTCCGTCCTCCCCAGACCAAGCCAGTGCCTGCGGGTCTTCCCATCTCCCTGTCTTTCCAAGTTCTCGGGGCCGCCCCCCATCTCTGTTTTCCTCTGCACAATGTGGGGCGGGGGGCGGGGCACTGACTGGAAACCGTCTATTGCACTGTCCAATGTAGCAGCCACTAGCCACGCGCAGCTATTTATCATGAACTAAAATGAAAGGAAATTAAAAAATACAGTTTCTCGGTGTGTTGGTTCGCTGAGCTGCCATGTCAATGTTCCATAGACTAGAGGGCTTGAATAGCAGACGTTTATTCTCTCCTGGTTCTGGAGGCTGGAAGTCTGAGATCAAGATGCCAGAAGGGTTGGTTCCTTCTGAGGCCACGAGGGATTCTGGTGTCTGTTGGCAATCTTTGGTGTCCCTTGGCTTGTAGACACAGCATCCTCACCTCTGCCTTCACATTCACACAGCATTCTCCCTGTGTGTGTGTGTGTGTGTGTGTGTGTGTGTGTGTCCTAATTTCCCTGTTATTTTCATAAGGACATCAGTCATATTGGATTAGGGCCACCTTAACTCATGACATCTACAATGACCTTATTTTCCAAATAAGGTCACATTCAGGGGTCCTGGGGGTGAGGAATTCAACATATAAATTCAACCCATGGCAGTCACGCTACCGCATTTCAAGTACCCAGTGGTGACATGTGGCTCATAGCAACTGTTTCAGACTCTGTAGAGGCAGAACATTTTCATCATCACGGGAAGTTCTGTTGGGCACGGCTGGGGAGAGTCCTGGCATGTATCTGGGTGCACAATAAGCTGGTTACAGTTTCCTGATGTCTTTGTCAGATGTGTTTACCTGGGGCAGCAGTAGGCAGGAGGGGAGCTTTGTGGAATTTGAGGTGAGTGGAGTTTGGACCACCCCCAAAGCTCTCAGCCTGTGCTCTGAGCCCATGTTGAGCTGGCTGTTAGTTGCCCCATCTGCCCTGCCCATTTTTCGGGTTTTAGCTTTAGCACCACCTACTCCGGGAAGTCTCCTCTGATTACTTCCCCTTCCCTAGTCCTCCTCTGGACTTCCACAGCTGCTTGTGAGTCCCTTTGTAGCCCTGACCACCTCTGGTCATGTGTCCATCTCCTCCCCTGGACTGTGTGTGAGCTGAGTGGTGATGGGAGACTGTGGTAAAGTCCAGGTCACCACTATGTCCCTGGCACTCGGCACAGAGCTCAGCATACAGCAGGTACTCAGTGACTAGGAGCTTTGGAAACAGAAGAATCAGTAGCACTCCTTCTGCTGAGCCTTGAGAACCTCTTCCTCTGCCCCCCCCCATGCCTTTCCTTCCCCAGCCCTCCTCCCTGACAGTGGCGAAATCATTCCCAAGAATCCTTGTCTTCTGCTTGTTAAATGGCTCAGAGGTCTGTAACCTATCAGCATTTCTCAGCTCTGCTGAACACCATGGACCTAAGCTTCTTCATCTGTCAAATGAGGACACCGATAGCCCCTGCCCACCTGGATGTTGATAACCTGAGACATAAAGAGGTCCTGGAGCTATTATGCGTGTACTTGTAAAAGAATAATAATAACAACAATGCCTTATATATCAGTTGGTGCCTAGTGTGTAATCATCTTTGTATTAACTCATTTAATCCTCACAAAACCTCCCCATTAACTCCATTTTATAGATGTAGAAACTGAGGCCCAGAGATATTAGGTAACTTACTCAAGGTCACACAGCTGCGAAGTGGCAGAGCTGAGATTCGATCCCAGGCAGGTGGCTTCTTGATCCATGCATGTTACTGCCTCTTCAATGATTAAATGAATGGATGAATGAATGAATGAATACCAGTTCCTTTCCTCCTCAGAAAACTCAGAACCAATGTTAGATATCATTCTTTGGGCTGCCTATGGTTTCATCTCCACAGAGCAAGATTAGTTGACCCTCCACATTTAAGACAGAAAAACCAAGGCTCGGGAGAGGAGGCAGCATGGGCAGCTCTAGGGTTTAAGCCTCATTGTCTGAGCCATGTTCAGGCCCCTATCTTGGCCTGTCTCTGGGTATGTGTGTGTTTATCTTGTGTGTTCATAGCCTGGCCTGGGAGAATGGGAGGCAGATGGAAGAAGAAGGTAATAAACGTTTGTCGATGAAGAGCATGTGGGCCAGAATAACTTCCTGTCTCTTTCCCTGCATTGCCAGGGCATTTCCGACTCCTCGGGCCTAGAACCTCCCTGGAGAGGCCTGGGGTATGGCTGGAAGCAGGGGAGTAAGAAGAATGCCTAGGAAAGGGGACTGGTGTGTTGGAGCTTTCACTACTCCTTACTTAGTTCATTCACTCACTTATTCATTCGCTCAACGACTGTGTGTGGGGCTCTCTTCTGGGCACCGAAGTTCCAGCTATAAACAGCTGCTTTCTGCCCTTATAAAGGTTCCACTTTGGTGGGGGCAACAAACACTGAGCTAAGGAACTCCCAACAACATTTCAGTAAGGAGCTAGCCATGCAGAAAAGTGGGGGAGAGTGTTCTGCAGGCAGAGCAGATGCAGTAGTCCTGGGGCTGCACAAGTGGGTGCATTCTCATAATATCAACACTCATCGAGGGCTTTATGTGTGCCTTCCCCTTTCCGAGTTAGTTCATGTGGATTATTTGATTGAATTCTTAAACACCTCTCTGGGAATGGCTCTCTGGGAAGAGCCACTGAGTGTTTGATTATTTATCATATTTGGCAGTTGAGAAAAATGAGGCTCAGAGAGGTGAAGAGACTTGCCCAAGGTTACACATCTGGGAGGTGGAGCAGGTGGGACTTGAACCCAGTGCTGTTAATCAGCACAAATGCTACCATATTGGAGCCTGGGATGTCAACTCGCTGTGGGCCAGGTCTGTTGTATTGCTTACCCTGATTGTGACCTCAGTCTTCCCATCTGTACAAGAGGGTGTGAATTATTCATGCTTGTCAAGATCTCTGGCCCTGAAACAGGGGTGCTTAGGGCGGTCAGATTAGAAAATGCAAATTTGGGACACCCAGTTAAATTTCCATTTCTGATGAATAACAAATAATTTTTCATTATGAATATTACCCCAAAATGAATAAGCATAAGTATGTCACCAATCCCTGCACGAAGAGGCCCCAGACTACAAGTCCCATGATCTATTGTGTCAACCTTCCAAGAACCTTCTATAACGATTTGAACATTCATTCATCCCAAGATTGCATAGCCCACCCACTGTGTGCCAGGCCTTGTGTTAGGTTGAGGGGATATATCAATGCACAAAGCAGACCTAAGTCTTTGCTCTCTCGGAATTCAACATTTATAGTCCTTGAAAGTTTTAAGTGATTTTTCTCGGAGTTCTGTCAGGAAGACTACAGCTCCCATGATCCCCTGTGGTCGCTCAACGGGACTACAATTCCCAGGAGACCCAGCGCACCAAACAGGCCTCTCCCGCTGTCCCCAACAATTTTCCCGGTTGCAAGGTCAAGTTCTTCGTCCGCAGTCGCCTCCCTCTCTTCCTTCAACAAAGACAGGGTTTAAGTAAGCTCCACTGAAGTAGTTCTATTTTGAGTCTATTTTTTGACGTGGAGTTTATGTGAAACTTTAGCAGTTTTAGCCGAACTGCCGACTACAGCTTACACCGGGGAGTAATTGAGTGGGCAACTGGGGAGCACCCACGCCGTGAGAACTACACTTCCCAGGAGGCAGTGCGGCAAGCGGGGCGATCTGCAGCAATGCCTGTAGGACCCCAGGGCTGCCCGGCGCGGTGGCCGCAGGACCCCAGTGGCTACCCATGCCGAGGTGAGTCCGCAAGAGTCGCTGCTGTCGCTGTCCCTGTTCCCGTCCCATCCCGGTCCCATTCCTGCCGCCGCCCCGTGCGGCTCCCCCGCCGGCCAGGATGTTGGAGGAAGCGGGCGAGGTGCTGGAGAACATGCTGAAAGCGTCGTGTCTGCCACTCGGCTTCATCGTCTTCCTGCCTGCGGTGTTGCTGCTGGTGGCGCCGCCGCTGCCCGCTGCCGATGCGGCGCACGAGTTCACGGTCTACCGCATGCAGCAGTACGACCTGCAGGGGCAGCCCTACGGTGAGTGGATCCCGGCCCCCCTTTTGGGCCTCTCCTGGGCCCCCGCGTCCCTCAGCCTCCCACCCCACTCCTCGGTCCCTAGCCCAGCCGGCCTCCCCCGGGCCCAGCCTCCCCTAGGCGAAATGCTCCCTTCCCTCAGCGTGGTCTTTGCCGCTCTTTCCCGAGGACCCGCCACTCTAGCCTGTCCAGCCGGACTGCAGCGGCCAGACCCTCACCCAGGCCCGGTCAAGTCAGCCTGGATTCCTGAACCTTCGCTAGGCTCCCAACTCTCCACACAGTGCCCCCAGGAATTACCCCCCTTCCCGCCTCACTGGCTCCCACATTTTCTCGTCCCAGACAAGGGCTTCATGTCCCAGAACCCACAGCTCCGACTCTCAGGCCAAGCTCCCCCTGCCCCGGACCCCTGGGTTCCCTCTCCAGTTTACAGCCGGGTCAGAGTCGCGTTGCCCAGTCCTCCCCCCGCCTTGGGACACCACCCTGGTGCCCGTCCTCACTGGGTCATAGTCTACACCCAGAGCTTCAATCTCTGTTCTGGTTGATTTGGAGGTGAGCCTCCCTGCCCAGGGTCTGCCAGGTGAGCTGCCCAACGAGGTGCTCCAACCAGCCCCCGCTCTCCAAAGCCCCTGGGTACTGTGGTGCTCTTCCTGCCCTGTCCACGTTCTGTTCCCCTCAGGGCTCCAGAGCACACATTGCTAACCAAGCCCTGGCCCCATGTCAGGACCCATCTCTCTCCAGGCTCTCAACTCTCCTCGGTCCCAGCTCAGGAGCCAGATCCCTTGGAATTCCTTAGCCAGACTCCCCCCCCCCCCCACCCACACACACACTTCCCCTTGTTTAGTCCCTGAGACTTTAGGTTCCCGAGGACTTAATGGACCCGTGTCTTGTTCTCTCCTTTGGTGTGTGCCACCCTCAGCTTCCCTTCCTTATCCCCAGCTTCCTGGAACCCCACTTGCTCCCTCTTCCCAGGATTTCTGTATTGTATCTGACCTCGGGACTTGGCCCCTGCACAACTTCTTGCTCCCCACTCCCGCCTCTTCATCTTCCTGTGATGGTCTGACCCCAGTGCCCAAGTCATCTTAAATACCCTTGGATCTGTTGTTCCAGAATCTTCTGGCCTCTAGGTTTCTCTTCCAACCTGATGCTTAGGTTGCCCTCAAGTCAAAGCCTGATTTCCTCATAAAGGAGCCCCTGTCTCCAGTTCTCCAGGCCCCTTCATCCCCAAAGGGTCTGCCTCAGTTCTCTTGGTCTCCCCTCTCCTGTTAGACCATCTCATGCCCAACCTGAAACCCCTGATTCCCAAGCCACTGCCAGGCCTTTGAAGAGCCTTAGTCTCTGGAGACAAGTTCAGACGTCCCCTGAGGTCCTGCATCTCCACAAAGTTATGTTGTTTCTGTTCAGAGCAGTGTTTGTCAACCCACGGGTCACTGGGTGATGACTTTATGATTGTCACATTGGAGGTGCTCCTGGCTTCTAGTGGGGGGGGGCAGGGATGCTGTTTATCCCCTCACAGTGCCCAGGACAGCGCCTCCCAGAGAAGGCTGCAGCCCCAGTGATCTGGCCCCAGTGCTAGGGGAGAACCTTGGGATTACAGTGATGGTTCTGAATGAAAAGCTCTGGAGGGGCGGAGGTGGGGGGCCAGGAGCCCTCAGTGTTGTGGGCACGTTCCTGTGGGTCGACGTTCTCCTGGGGGAAGGGTCCGTGTTGTGCAGTGGAACTCGCTGCGACTGTCACTGGGTTTTGTATTTCCACTGATTCAGAAGCCACCAGCCACAGCTGGACACTGGGCACTTGAGATTGCGGTTCATGCCACAGATGAAGGGAATTTTTTGTGTTATTTAATTGTTGTAAAGTCAAATAGTCACGTGTGGCTGGTAGCTGCCGTCCTGGTCTAGAGTTTTTCTTGGTTTCCCAAAGGAATCCATAGTCCAAAAGGCCCAGATCCTAAAGCTCGGTATAACCACTTTTTCCAGATCCTGAGCCTCAGCTCCTTCATTCACCCCTGTCATTCAGTCCCATCTCAAACGGCTCACACTCAGGAGCCTTGCTAAGGGACTCCTGTCTTGCTCCTCCCAGCACACCCAGCTTCTCTCTCTGGCCCCTTTGGCAGCTGTCATCTACAGCCTGGTTGTCCCTGGCCTCCTCTGGACCTCTCGACACTGTCCTGCCTGCACCTGATGTGGCCTCTCTCGTCTCCAAACCCGCCCAGGAAATGGTGGCTGAATTTGAGGAGGAAGCAAGTGCCAGGTCACCATCTTTCTGAATGCAGAGCCACGTTCTCCGTCTCCCCCTTTGCAGGTCCTGGGGAACCTTCTCTCCCTGACCTCTTCTCTCCTTTCCCTGAGCTTTCTTTTCCTTCTTCCCTCTCTTCTCTGAGTCCTTTGCTCCTGATCCTGGGATTCCTTCCCATTCTTTTTTCTGACTTGGTGTCTCCCCCCACACTCCCTCCTTCCTGGCCCCCCATCTGTTGCTCCTAGTTAGACACTTAAACGCTGCCTGCCCTGCACGGGGCATTTATAGAGTCTGTGAGTTCCAGGGGTGATCAGAGAGGGCATGGTGGGGCGCCGACCCATCTCAGCCAAGTGCTTCTTGTCTGCAAAGCAGGGAAACAGAGGCCTGGCTTGAGAAACTTTGATGAGGCCCCACGAGTGAGGCTTGCATGTCCACACGGGTCACCCCTGGTGATATCCCCTGCATAGATGTGGGGTGGACCATTGCTGCCTGGGGAGAAGCTGGTGGGATAGTTGGTGCTGTGGAGGGGGAGTTGGTTGTTGGAGGGAAGGCCCCTCAGGAGTCTGAGGCACTGCTGCTTGTCCTCCAGCAGCAGAAAGACCCAGCGTGGCCGGAAGAAGCCCCAGGTCCCTCCCTGCCCGTGGTGCCTTTGAGAGCTGGTCTGCTAGGTCACTGCTGATTGCAGTCTCCACAGTGTCTTTGACACCCTCCTCTACAGTGCACGCCCCAGGCTCCCCACCTCTGGTGCAATTCTGGCTCCGGGTCTCTCGTTTCCCAACTTCCTGTTCACTCCTGTTGAGAAACTGGGCTGGGCAGCTGCCCAGGAAGGAAAGGTGTGTGCTCATTGTGCTGTGCTGTGAATTGTGTTGAGAGTAATATACTAGGTACAGGGCCGCAGATGTGGCTTCCCCATCCTACCAGGTGGACTCTGGCCTTCCTGAGGTGGCTGCTGCTTCAGCAGTGCTTGCTGGGTGCTCGTGTGCTGCGGGTAGCAGCCCACTCGTGCCCGTCTCAGTCTTGATACCATAGGTTCCATGAGGCCCGAGGAGGTAGGGGTGTTGGCACTCACACTTGCCAGGGCTTCTTCACCTGGGATTGCCCTTGCGCCATTGCTGTAAGTAAAGTTTTGTTGGCACACAGCCACACCTACTAGTTGATGTGCTAAGTAGCCGTGACAGAGCGGGTGTGGCCCGGTCAGGCCAGAGGATTGATCCTTTGGCCCCTAATAGGAAAGATTGCGGGCTCCACTCAGGTCTGGTCTTGCTGTGGGAACCTGCGACTTCTGTCTAGGTGTCCAGGGCCTCCCACCAAGCCTGAATCTCTGCTGGTGTAGAGCCGGGGTGAGGGGGTCACATCAGCAAAGACAGTCTCTGCTCTTGGGGCGCTCAGAGCCTGGGGCACAGTGCCTGGCTTTGCTCTTATCCCCCTCCTTCTCTGGCCTTGTTTCCTCCCTCTGGAGACCAGGGTCCCAACTCCTGCCCTGCGAGAGCTCCAGGCCCAGGGGGAAGTTGCGCACAGTTGGCTCCACAGGCTGCCCTCCATGGTTTCCCCACTGAGGTGGCGTCAGAGGCTGTGGGCCCCTGGGAGGCAGAGGCCTGAAACAGCTGGGGCCTGGAGGTGGGGCCTTCAGGTGTTCCAAGACCTAAAAGGGCGTCCTGAAGGTCTTTGTTGCCCTCTCCCTGCCTAAAGCAGAGGAAAGGTCCCTAGGGGATTGGGGGTGGAGTCAGGGTGCCGCCTGGCCCAGGGCATACAGCCCCCCTTCTCTTCTTGGTTGCAAGCCGCCTGCTCCAGAGATGGCCTCCCCTATTCCCACCTGGGACGCTGCTCCTGCTGTGTCCTTCCAGCCTCCTCTCCCCACCGTCCACTTAGGGCACTCCACTGGAAGCAGCTTTTCTTCCGTCTGCTCACTCTCCCGAGAGCTCATTCCTGGAAAGCAGAAGCAGGGATCTAGGCTCCTGGCCCTGAGCCTGAAGCTTAGCGTAGCCCAGCACAGGTCTGCATCTGTTAGTACACGGATGGTGCCTTCCCTGCGCTTCCACCTCCACGAAGGCTCGAGGCTGGCTCCCCTGGGGAAGCCCAAACGCTTCAACATGTCCTTCTCTGTGCTCACCGCCTGGGTCTCAAACTGGAGGCCCTGTGGGCCCCATGTAGTCCCCATGTGGCTGGGGTTTCCTTGCTTGCTGCAGCCTGGGCCAGCCTGCAGTGTGTGGAGTATTCTGGACTCCTCCCTTCCCGGTGCTGCTGCACTGGCCTCCATGGTCCAGGACTTAACCTCAGTAGGGCTTCTTCGGGACACCTTCCTCCAGCATAACTCTCTCAGGGTAGCAGTGTGCATCTGTTGTGTGCCCAGGGGACCCCTGCTGGTCTTAGAAAAGCTCTCTGTGACATTCTGGTTCTGACTCTGCCACTTTTGGTTGGGTGGGAGTGGGGGGATTCATTTGCCTGGGGGAGGCTTGTGAGTGGCCAGGTCCATGCCCGTTCTGAGCCTCAGGTTTTCCCTCCCGCTCCGAGCCTTTATCTTTCTTGAGCTCTTGAAAGAGAGGCGGAAGGTGGCACTTGGGCGTAGAGCAGGGAGAAGTTTGTACATGAGGTGACTGCCCCCAGGAGACCCTTGCCCATGTATAGAGACCTAGGTGGTTATTTAGGGACATCTGTGTTTGTCATTGCTGGAGGTGCTCTTGGCATCAGGTGGGTGGGGGCCAGGGATGCTGCTCAACCCCTGACAGTGCCCAGGACGGCCCCCTACAGAGAATGACTTGACCCTGGCCTTTCTGGAGCCTTCTCAGGGTCACTGGGGGACTTAGTGTTTGCTTATTTGTTCTTCTGGCTGGAGTCACCAAGAACCCGTGGGCCAGGGGTGGCTGTCAGTGCTAGTTTCACACTTCGGTGACCAAGGTCTCTGCCCTTAGAACCCTAGGCTCATTAGAGGGTTAGATAGTCATAAGCTTCCTAGTTGGTGCCGAGGCCCCAGGGAAACGACCAAGGTGACGTTAGAGGGGATGGGGCACCTGGCAGGAGGGGCCAGAGAGAGCAGGACAGGGCCGCCAGGTCCAGGTCAGCCCGGCCTGGAGTTTGGGTTTGCCCCAAGGTGCTCAGAACTTTAGAACAGCAGGCCTGTGGATTTGCACGGGAAAAGGGTCTCAGCCATCACTCGGGTCTCAAAAGGTGCTGCAGCTCTCCAGGGTTCAAGTGGCCACTGCATCCCTGGGCAGTGGGATGCTGGCTGTGGCAGACTCATGTTGGGCGTGTGGGCAGAGAGCCCATGGGACTCTGGGGGCTCCTGAGTCAGTGGTCTCTAGGCAGAGGCCTGGGATCCTGCTGAGCAAGTGGTTCCCCTTCTCCGTCCCTCCCACAGGCACACGGAACGCAGTGCTTAACACGGAGGCACGCACCATTGACGCGGACGTGCTGAGCCGCCGTTGCGTGCTCATGCGGCTGCTGGACTTCTCCTACGAGCAGTACCAGAAGGCCCTGCGGCAGTCGGCCGGTGCCGTAGTCATCATCCTGCCACGGGCCATGGCCGCCGTGCCCCAGGACGTCATCCGGGTGAGCCCCTGCCCCCACCTTCTGCCCAGGCCAGGGTCCAGAACATTCTGTGGAGAAAGGACTGCCTGGGTTTGGAGTCGGCTGTGTGGGAAGTCATTTTACCTCCCTGAGCCCTTGCCCTTCCAGAAGCGGACGGCGCCTGTTCCCCTTCATCACTGGTCTCCCTGGAGTGACTTTTGCAGGGGACACTGGGTGATGTCTGGGGACATCTGTCGTCACAACTGGAGGTGCTATTGGCATCAAGTGGGTGGGGCCAGGGATGCTGCTCAGCACCCCACAGTCTCTGGGACAGGTCCCACAGAGTGACCTGGCCCTGATGTCAGCAGTGCCCAGGGGTAGAGATCTGCTTTGAAGGAACAGGGTCTGATGGGATTGCCCCCAAACTCTGTGTCAAAGAAGCTTTTGCAGATGAGAAGGCGTTATGGGGGTTGGGTGGGGGAGCCCACACTTTCTGGAAGCCAGCTCTGCGCCGAGCAGGCAGTTCGTGCCCAGTGTCCATACGGGTCTCGGATATCAGCTTGGGAGGTCAGCACCCGTTGCCCACTTAGAGCTGAGGATGTGATAGCCAGTAAGGGCAGGCGGCCCACGGTGACGCCAAAGCTTACCCAGCCTGGCTGGCCCCAGTGCCTGTGCTCCCAGCCTACTCCCTCCCTGCTGCGGCCCCTGGGCATTGCCACACCTCACCTGTCCCTCCCCCTTCGTCTCACTCCCCGGTCCCCCTCCTGCCCCCTTCCTCTTCTGCACAGTCCTCGCTTCATTAGCTGCCTCAGAGGAGGCAGTCTTTCAGGCGCGGGCCTACCTGCCCTTCAGGGACAGCCGTTGGCTGTAAGTCACCTAAACATGTGTCTCTTCTACAGCAATTCATGGAGATTGAGCCCGAGATGCTGGCCATGGAGACCATCGTTCCTGTGTACTTTGCTGTGGAAGACGAGGCCCTGCTCTCCATCTACGAGCAGACTCAGGCTGCCTCCACCTCCCAGGGCTCTGCCTCTGCCGCCGAAGGTGGGCCAGGGGCTGCAGGACTGGAGTGGGTTCGTGGGGAGCCCTCCCTGTCGAGGGCCAGGTCACCCCGTGCCACTTCTGAGACCTTAAACATGTTACCCGTATTACAGCGCAGGCTACCAGGTCCTGCCCAGACCTGTGTGTCACAGTCTCGGTCTGCTGTCGGTCTTGCCTGCAGAACATGTCAGGGTCGGTCAGCAGCCTTCTCGGGGGAGGAGAAAACCCATTTCCTCCTTCCAGGGACTGGGGGTGCCGTGCGGAGCTGGGAGCAGGGGTGGGTTGCTGCAGGGAGAGGGACAGCACAGTTGCTCAAAGAACTGCAGCTGGTAGGAGCCACCCACTGCTCTGTTTCCACCTGTTGAAGTGGCGGGTGTCACAAGAACAGTCACTCAGAACTGACAGGAGTGGACGGATAGGCGGGCTGGTCCACGTGGGGAGACCCAGCCAGCTCCTTGGGGAAGTGGTCGGCACTGTGTGTTTAAGCTTTGGGCAGAGGTTCGTTCCTCCTGAGCAGGTGTCTGGCTGCGTGAGACGCTAGATCAGGGGTTAGCAAACTAGGGCCCTCAGCTGCCTGCCTGTGCAAATAAAGTTTTATTGTCACTCGGCTACGTCCATTCGTTTATGTGGTGTTACACGTGGTTTTCATGCCACAGCAGCCCAGCTGAGTGGCTGTGGCAGAGCAGAGCCGAAGAGTCTGCCTCTCTGGCCCTTTACAGAGAAAGTTCGTCAGCTCCTGGTCTAGATCAGAGTCTTGGCGGCAGCCATCTGCGTTGTGGCGGCGGGAGCGTGAAGTTTTGGAAAGACCTACATTTTCAGTTAGAACAGAATAGAGGAGGAATCTTCTGCTTAGTAGAATATTACGTAGTCATTAAAACTGACATCGGGTAAAGTGGTAGCAGCATGGAAAAATGTTTATTTTACATTGGTAGGTGGAAGAAATGGGAGATAAAAATCATCAATGTTGATCACAACTGTCTGTTTAGAAATGCATTAAGACTTAGAAGAAGTTGAGAACCTACCCCAGCGCCTGAGGTCACCCTTCTCCCGGGTACTCTGGGGTGACGTCTTACGTACCCGTACAGTGTGTGTGTGAGGACGTGAGTGGCAGCAGGTCCAAGGTGGGAATGCAGGGCTGATTGCAGCCCCTGGCCCGAAATGCAGAGGCAGGTGTTTCTAGTCAGGAGCGAGCGGGTCACGACCCTTTGGGAGCTCAGGCTGTGTGGGCTTTTGGCACAGGACTGGGGGGTCGTGTGCCGCCCGGTGGGAGACTCCTGTTTCCCCGTTACCTCTGACAGCTGTGTGGAGGCTGAGTCAGTCCTTGGGAGGCTGGGTCAGGGGGTGCACGTGCCTCTAAATTTGGAATGGAGGCCTTAGTGTCCTGCAGAGTGAGGGCGCTCCCCACCTGCCTGGGCTCAGGGAGACTTTCCCTAGCTCTTGTCCTGGCCACCCAGGCTCTTTCCCGTGTCCAGTCATCGCTTTGTGTTCTAGTTTGTGAGGTCGGTTCTGCATACTGCTTTGCATAGGCTGAACTCAGGGTCCAGGGTGTTGGGGAACTCTTGGGCTGACCCCTCCCTGCTCCTGTCCCCAGTGCTGCTCCACACTGCCACTGCCAATGGCTTCCAGATGGTCACCAGCGGGGTCCAGAGCAAGGCCGTGAGTGACTGGCTCATCACCAGTGTGGAGGTGAGTGCCTGCTCTGTTGCTGTGCCGAGACCCTGGGACGGTGCTGCACCGAGACCACTGTCCCGTCCTCAGAGTCCGTGCCGGTGCCCAGTGCCCAGTAGGCCACCAGCGAGCACTTGGAGCTGAGCGTGCTGGTCCCCTCAGCCCTCTGCTGGGGCCGGACTGCCTTTAGCACTGACGGGGCTTCCGTGGGCCCAGGTCTCCAGGGGTTCACTCCAGATGGTGCGAGGCTGCTCAGCACTGCCCCCCATGTCAGTGCGCAGACTCCGGTAAAAGCTGGGGTGCAGCCACATTGTCAGCCATCACGCCCCCTTCAGAACTAAGTGAGTTTCCCTCAGGGCTGCTTAGCACTCACAGTCGGTCGAGAATCCCATGCCTTTCCGTGAATAATTTTTGAGCTCCTACTGTATGCAGGGGGCAGTGGTGAGCAAGATGCCATCCTTCCCTAGAATTTCTCCTGCATTTTCTGAGATGCACTTGGGGACGTGTAGGCTGAGAGGCCTGGGGCCCGAGCGGCTGTGAGGGCAGGGCGGGGTCCTGGGTGGAGCGGGCTGCCCCACAGAGACCGGGGAGGAGAAGGCACAACGGCAGCCGGCAGCTGCCCGAGAGGCCGATTCAGGCTGATGGGGAGCTGCTGCAGCCTCTGAGCAACCGACACAGAATCAGACGGGTGCGTTTTTTGGAACCGTGTGAGATGCTGGTGGTTTGGGCGGAGGGAACGAGTGCTGGCAGGAGGCCTAGTTGTCAGACCCCAGAGGCCGGGTTCAGCCGCAGAGGGTCTGGTTCCCCGGGGGTCCCAGGGTGGGCCACTGAGGGTCTGGTGGGCCCCTCTCACCGTGTGGGGCTCTCTCCCAAGCTGCTAGCCTGGCTGCCGTGACCTTTGGCTCTGTGAGTGTCGTGCTGCCATGCGCCCTCTGCCGTCCCTGTTGCTCACCTGGGAAGCAGGGTCAGGGAGGATGTTGGGGTACTTGGACTCCCCCCGCTGTCCCCAGCTCATGCTAGGACCCTGACTTGCTTGGGGCTCTAGGGGCTCAATTCACAACTGCACTGTTTTTCCTCATCAGCAGAGCTCTGCCCCCCAAAACAGGGGCATGTAGCTCAGCCTCTGAAGGGTGGCCTTGGTTTCCAGGGGGAGAAGCATGGTGCAAGAGGAGTGAGCAGATTCTTGTCACTAGAGCCATGGTCAGCAAACTGCAGCCCTTGGCCAAGTTTGGCCCTGAGCCTGTTTCTATAAATGAAGTTTTATTGGCACCCAGCCATGTCCACTCGATCACATATCACCCACGACTGACTAGTCATGACATCCCATGGAGCCAGCAAAGCTAAAAATACTGCCCCCGCCCCACTCCCACTGGGTGGGGGAGCCTGGACTGTTGTGGTGATCAGGGCCTCTGCCGACTGGTGTTGCACAGACTGTCTTTCCACAGGGGCGGCTGACGGGCCTGGGTGGAGAGGACCTGCCCACCATCGTCATTGTGGCGCACTATGATGCCTTCGGAGTGGCCCCTGTATGTATACACTCGCCTTGGAGGAGGGGAGGGGGACCTGTCCTCCCACACTGCTCTAGCTGGGCTCAGGGGCAGAGGCGGCTGTCTGTGGGCAGCAGCGGCAGTCAGAGCAGCGGCACCGACTTGGAGGCCCTTTAGGCATTACATCAGCTCCCCATGAGGACTCCACAGAGTGGGTGGCATCGTGGAGCTGAGACAGAGGCTAAGCCAGGGTGGGTCTTGTGGCCAGGGTTCCACTGCAGATAGGTGATCAGGCCAGGAATAGAGTCCAGGGTGTCTGTGTGGCTCTTCAAGGTAATTTGCTGGGAGGACCCTGGACTCAGCAGGTGCTCGTCCTCATGGCCCTGCTTTGTGTAGGGGCAGGGCAGAGCAAAGGGAGCCAAGGGGAGAGTGCAGGCAGCCGTCGAGGTGGGGACCAGGTGTCTCATGGTGCCTCTCCAGGTGGAGTCCACAGGACGCACTTACTCCCGCAAAACAAGGTGTGACAATGCGTGTGAGGAGTGGTCCCCAGGGGTCTCATGGAGACCCAGTGCCCAGGGTTTTCACTGGGGGCCAGTCATGCGGGGCACTCTGCCTGGCGCGCACTGGATCCCGGGCTCCGGAAGGAGAACACGCATGTGATGCACCGCATGTTTGCACAGGTAGGGATCCCCCGGGTTCAGTTCCGGGATGTCACTGACAGGCATCAGTGGCGCACTCAGCCCCGCCCCCAGGCTGCAGGCCTCCGAGCCGGGCCCTGCTCTCAGGTTCCTCAACACAGTGAGATCTGGGTGCACGCCAGGTGTGACTCCACCTCTTTCGTCAAGAAAGTCTGGCTTTGAAAGAACAGTCAGTGAACCAAGCAGGGTGCTGACGGCGGGTGGATCTGCAGCCTGGTGCGAGCTCCTGACTGTGGCCGGGCCAGTGACACGCCACCTGGAAGGCCATGGCCAACCTTGAGAACACCTGGACCAGTGGGGCCCAGTGTCAGACCCTGAACAGTCAGCTGAGAACGCTTCTCAACTTGTTCACTATTCCTTTTTTAGACATTTTTGTCCTAATTTTTCACCGTCTGTGAAATTTAAAATTTTTTTGAAATACAGTTTCCATAATGTAAAATTCACCCTTTTAAAGCATACAATTCAGTGGTTTTTAGTATAGTCACAGGATTGTATAACCATCACCAATATCTAATTCCAGAATGTTCCATCATCCCTAAAAGAAGTTGCATCCCCATTAGCAGTCTGGGCATCTCACGTAAATGGAATCACACAGTATGTGGCCTTTGGTGTCTGGCTTTTCTCGCCGAACATCATGAATTGAATTATGTTGATACGACATATGTCGGTTTATGGACCGTGACCTTGGGAGGTTCCCAAGCTATTATGGCATCCCAAGATTTTTCCCCCCCAAGAACCAGTCATGGCCTCTTTGAAGTACTGCTTTCGATCACAGAACCCAGCTGATGGGGGTGGGGGGAGGCTCTCAAGGCCCAGGAGGCTGGTGGCCTGGCTGGAGGAAGCCGGTGCTGCCAACTGCCCCCACAGTGACCGGTGCGAGGGCCCGGGTGCACGTGCTGAGGCTGACAGAGGCTGCCCTGGTGGCACAGCCACCTGCCAGGCACAGACAGGTGCTGTGAGCAAGGGACTCAGAAGGGCCTCAAGTGTCCAGGGCTCCTCCCTGTGGACACCAGGGTGCTGGCAGCTCTCCCAGCTGTGCTCTGAATGTGGACGAGGGACAAGATCAGGGACAGAGTGGGCTGCAGGTGCTGTGGGAGGGGGGTGACGAGGTGCTGTGTGTGACTGTTGGGGGTGACTGCCAGCCTTGTCTTGCCCGCCCACAGTGGCTGTCGCATGGCGCAGACTCCAACGGGAGTGGCATCTCCGTGCTGCTGGAGCTTGCCCGCCTCTTCTCCAGGCTGTACACCTACAAGCGCACCCATGCGGCGTAAGTGATGGCCAGGTGGGCGGACTGGGGGCCAGGCGAGGCCCCACGCTGGTGGGGCCGCAGCGGGTGCATTGGAGCCCCAGGGCCCCTGTGCAGTTCCGGCCCCAGGAAGTGTGTGTGTGTGTGTGTGTGTGTGTGTGTGTGTGTGTTCACGCGCGGAGGGCTGCCATGGGCCAGGCCTCCCCCGGGCACTGCTCAGAGTCCCGCCCAGGAGGCTCAGCTGCTGTTAGTCCCGGGGAGTGTTGTGGATGCCTTCAGCTGCAAGTAATAGAAGCATTCAACAGAAAACAGTCACTTAAACTGGGTTCCTCATCCCAGCACTGTGGACACTGGGCCAGGGGGTTCTGTCTGTTTACCCGCACCGTCCTGCCCCGGAGCGGGAAGGGGCTCAGTGAGATTGTCAGTCCCCTGGAGCTGTGGTCACCACACACTGCACGTGGGGCCAGGGTCGCTGAGTAGCAGACATGTTCCCAGTTCCCTGGTCTTGGGAGCTCACAGAAGCCCCTGGAACAGTGATTCTCACCCCGAGGGGACACTGGTCCATGTCCGGGACATCGGTGGTTGTCAGAGCTGGGGGTGCTCCTGGCATCATGTGGGCAGGGGTTCGCAGTGCTGCTCAACACGCCGAGGACAGCCCCCCAGAGACGGCCCAGCCCTGATACCGGCGGTGGGCAGCAGGGAAGCCCTTGCCCTAAGGGCTGGTTAGGGTTTTGCACTCGGGGGAGACCACCTCCTCCTTGTTGAGGACCTGAATGGTCAGCTGCCAGAACTGACACCTCCGCTGTCCCCACCAGGTATAATCTCCTGTTCTTCGCCTCTGGAGGGGGCAAATTTAATTATCAGGGGACAAAGCGCTGGTTAGAAGACAACCTGGACCACACAGGTTAGTGGCCCCCAGCTGGTACAGGACAGGTCAGGGACCCTGGTTCTCCCCCTGCACTCCCTTACCCCCCAACCCCCGTCACCGCTAGTCAGCCCCTGCTGCTCCCGCTCCCACAGATTCCAGCCTGCTCCAGGACAACGTGGCTTTCGTCCTCTGCCTGGACACCCTGGGCCGGGGGAACAGCCTCCACCTGCATGTGTCCAAGCCGCCCAGGGAGGGGACACTGCAGCACGCCTTCCTGCGGGAACTGGAGATGGTAGGTGCCCCGGGAGCACGGGAGCCTTCCAGGCAGCAGCTTGACCCAGGGCCAGGCGTGTGCCCATTTCACAGAAAGGCCCCATGAGGTTCTGAGAAGGGTGGCAGCGTGTCACAGGGGACTCAGGCCAGGCTGGGTTATCTGCCCTACTGTTCCTCATTAGCTAGTGTTCACCATTGGCCAGGTATCAGAGCAGATGTTTTGTAGACCCTGGGGCTTTGCGTGAGCTTCAGTTGGATTCCTGGGGTGGGGGGGGGCAAGTGGGTTCCTCCCCATTTCCAACTGCAGGAGCTTTAGGGAGGGACGTGGGATGCTCCTGGCTCTCGGGCCCTGTGTGAACATTTGTGAAACAAGCTCAGTGCACGGGGTCCCTCTGCAGACTTGGTGGGATGTGGCCGGGACCCGGGGTGGGGTGGTGGGTGGACTGACTCCCCGACTGTGCTGCCCACACAGGTGGCCACTCACCAGTTCCCGGAGGTGCGCTTCTCCATGGTGCACAAGAAGATCAACCTGGCGGAGGACATCCTGGCCTGGGAGCACGAGCGCTTCGCCATCCGCCGGCTGCCTGCCTTCACCCTGTCGCACCTGGAGAGCCACCGGGACGGCCAGCGCAGCAGCATCATGGACGTGCGGTGAGTGGGGTCCCGAGCCTCCCGCTTTCTCGCAAAACCGTCTTCCTGCCATCTGGGTCCTAGGAACGAAGTTGTTTCTTTCAGAGTTGGGGGCGCTGGCGGTGGGTAGATGTGGGTGCCTGGGGGGAATGCACCACTGTGTGGATGGTGGGGAAGGGGCTGGCATTGGCCTGGCAGCTGAAGAAACAGGAGGGCGGTCCCCCTGCACTAACACAGCTGCTGGGGACAGGGAGGACATAGCGAATGGCCTGCCCCCACCCCTGGCCCCCGTGCATGCCTTTCGGGCCCTAAGCGCCTCAGTTCGCCCTGTGGCTTCTGCGCCCAGGCCTTTGCACGGTAGTGCTGTAGCCTGGAGAGCTTGCCCTGTCTCTGGACCCTCGTGCCTCCTTGGGGGCCCTCCCAACCAGCCCCTTCTTACTTCACCCTCTGGGACGATGGGTGTCTCTGGCTGCTGTCATTTTAGGACCTCGCATCCCCTTGGTTCCCCCTGCTGGCATGGCAGCCCTCAGTGGGGCCAGGGTTTCATGGTGGTGTTGGCTGCCAAACGCAATCCTGGGAGTGTCTGCCTCTGCCCTGTCATTGGCCACTGGTGGGCAGCGGCCTAGCTACTAGACGCGCGTCAGTGAGGGGGCGGGAAATGAAAAGGTAGCCTGGTGACGGGCCCAGAGAGAGAGAACAGGCACAACGGGAGTATTGTCAGGTCGTGGAGCTGGAGGGCTTCTTGGAGGAGGTGGCACTGAAACCAAGGGACATGAATCAGGAGAAGGGTGTTCCAAGGCAGAGGGTGCTGAGAGTGAAGGAGAAGTGGAGGGAAGGAGAAACAGAGACCAAGGAGTGAGCCAGGCCACCCCCTCCTTGCCCCTCCCAGTGAGAGCCCAGCATCTCACACCTTGGATCAGTGACATTTTGCCTCCAAAGTGCCTGTTTTTGGGTCTGTGTTGTCGGCAATCCTTGGTGTCTCTCGGCTTGGGACCATATCACCCAAATCTCTGCCATTGTTACAAATTTTCCTCTTATAAGGACACCAGCCATGGGATGTAGGGCCACCCACTTTAGTGTGACCTTAGCCTCACTCACCACATCTGCAGAAGTCCTGCCTCCCCATCAGGTCACATTCCCGGGTTTAGGTGGGTGTGGGTCTGGGGGGATAGTTTACCTACTACTGGGTGTTACATTGACTTTGCCCTCAACAAACCATGGAGGCAGGTGTCCTGACCACCCCATCCCGTGGTCCAGGTGAGGAAACAGGCTTCGAGGGGTCCAGTTATTTCGGGCAGTCACAAGGAGCCCGGCCTGCTTCTCTGCACCTGCAGATCACCCTTGAGGGTGCTGGACAGCCTTTTGAGGCAGACAGGGTGCCCCGTTTTCAAGTGGAATGTACCCCTGACTGGGTGGCTTAGTTGATTGGAGCATCATCCTACACACCAAAAGGTTGCAGGTTCGATCCCCAGTCAAGGCACAAACCTAGGTTGGGGGTTTGATCCCCAGTCAGGGTGCGTACAGGAGGCAACTGATGGATGTTTTTCTCTCTCCCCACCCCCCTTTCCTCTCTCTGTAAAATGAATAAACATATTCTTGGGTGAGGATTGAAAACAAACAAAAAACCCCAGAATCTGAGGTGTGAAGAGGTGCCCACCCTGCCTGAGGAGGCCGTGACTTTTCTTACTCCCATTGTCATTGGATGTGTGATTGTTTGCTTTTTGGTGGTTATCAGTGGTGCTGACTCTAAATGTTTATAGATTTGTTTCACACCTGCCCTTGAAGGTCCCGGGTTGACTCGAAAACCCTGACCCGCAACACGAGGCTCATCGCGGAGGCCCTGACGAGAGTCATCTACAACCTGACAGAGAAGGTGAGCCCCCAACTGGCGAGACCCCCCTGTGGCCTCGGGCCCTCCACAGGCCCTACGTGGGTCTGGACTGAGGGCCTGTCCCTTCCTCTCGTTGCAGGGGACCCCCCCGGACATGCCCGTCTTCGCAGAGCAGATGGTAACCAGTGGGCCGGGTGGGTGGGGACCCTGGGGCAGTGCTGTGCAGGGTTCCTGTGACCATGGCCGTGTCCTTCGTAGCAGATCCAGCAGGAGCAGCTGGACTCCGTGATGGACTGGCTCACCAACCAGCCCCGGGCCGCCCAGTTGGTGGACAAGGACGGCACGTTCCTCAGCACACTGGAGCACTACCTGAGCCGCTACCTGAAGGAGGTGAAGCAGCACCACATCAAAGCTGACAAACGGTGAGGCGCAGGCGGCCCCTGCCCCAGGCTCATCAGAGGCGCAGCTCCCAGTGAGCACGCTCCTTCGGAGTCTCTGCGCCTCCCTGCGCCAGAGCGAGCGAGCAAACGAAATGGGAGATAAGAGACTACAGGGTGCCGGTCAAACTTGAGTCCTAGACAAACAGCAGATTGTTTTTTAGTGTAAGTGTGTCCCACACAGCATGCTAAAGGCCGATTCTTCGTTTATCTCAGTCCACGGAGGACTGATGTCCTGCGTTGTATCTGGCAGCCCTGCACTCCCCCCCTCCCCGCCCCCCCGCCCCGGGGGCTGAAAGGACCGGAGATCCCCTTGCGCTCTGCATTAGGTGGCTTGTGCCCGGTCCAGTGTGCCCTTAGGGCGCTCCTCCCCCCTGCCAGCCCCTGGATTGTCTTTTTTCTGCTCAAGGCTCCCGAGCTCCTCAGTTGTGCTGAGCAGGCCCCTCAGGGTCTGCGGTAGAAGGGTCACCCAGGGGTGTCCATGGGCAGGAGACGTCCCCCAGAGTGTTTGTTGCCCTTGCTGGCCTCCGCCTTCCTCCCGGCTCGTGGCACTCTTGGGAGACAGAGCGCTTAGATGAGGCTGAAGTGGGTCCACGGCCGTGGAGCCAGGGTCTCTGATTCCCAAGCCACGGCCACCCGCCCTGTGGAGGAGCACTTTCCAGACCAGCACGGCGGCCGTGGTCATCGTCTTCCGCTGTTAGAGAGTGTACTTGAACACCCAGAAGAGCAGTAGGGAAGAAGGGGTTTTGGAATGGAAGGTAGCCTTGTCCCAGGATGGACAGCGGCAGCCTGGAGGAGGCACACACATGGGGTGCTCCCTGCCACACTGCAGGTGGGCGGGACTTCCAGGTGGTTTGGTATCAAGGCGGGGCGTGTGCTGCAGGACTCGGCCCGGCTCTCGGGGCGAGTCCACTGAGAATGCACTCTCCCCCAGGGACCCCGAGTTTGTCTTCTACGATCAGCTGAAGCAGGTGATGAATGCTTACAGGTGAGCTGCTCTGGACCAGGAGCCTATGTCCCCTGGGTTACCATCAGGGGACTGGTCCACAGGACAGCCAGTGGGTGGCGAGTCCCATACCCTCCCCTGACCCCTAACTCCCCTCTCTCCAGGGTCAAACCAGCCATTTTTGACCTCCTCCTGGCAGTCTGCATTGGCGCCTACCTCGGCATGGCCTACACGGCAGTCCAGGTGAGCTCGGGGGGCTCAGGTGGGAGGGTTGGACTGGCCAAGCGTGTCCTTGCCCCCATCCTGCCTGGAAGCAGGTGACTGCACAGGTGCCTGGGCCCTCCCTGGTGGGGTTTGTCCCCAGCCTCCCTCGTGACCACTTGTGCCCTCCTGCCTCCCTCAGCACTTTGACCTCCTGTACAAAACAGTTCAGAGACTGCTCCTGAAGGCCAAGACACAGTGACAAGCACCGCGGGCCCCCTGCCGCCATCCTCACCACCCTCGGTCTGCAGGGGCTTGCCAAGACCCCAAATTACAGAGCTTTTCTGTGTTGCTCTTGAAGATTTGGGGGATTCTTTCTCATTTTTGTCCTTCGAACTCCTTGGAGGAGCATTCACTGGAACTCTGGGGCCAAGCCACGGACTTGGGAACAAGTCGTGGCCGAGCCTGTGGCCCAGGAGGTGGCCCCACAGCCCACAGGGCGCTAAGCTACGCTGCAGCAGGAAAGTTGTCCGGCACAGCCTCGGGGCCGCTCCTGCGCGGGATGCTGGCCACAGCCAGCACTGGCCCTGCATCTGTCCTCCACGCTGTCTCCATCCCCCCGGTGACCTGGACACTCTCCTCATGCCTGTCTGAAGAGGGCGGCACCAGCCTCTGGGTCCCCAGGTTGTGGCTCCTCCCTGGGCCAGGGCTGAGGGACATGCCTCCCCTGAACCACACTGGTGCCCCAAAGACCCAGCGACGTGGCGCTGCCCCCACTCTGGCGCCGCCCTGTCCGGCCCTGCACCCATCCCCTCACTGGAGCTTCCAGCCTCTGCTCCCTCTCACTGTGCCCTGGGGAGAGTGGCATCTCCCCGGGCTGGCTTCTCTGTTGGAGCCTGGGCTCCCAAGCCCTGGCTCTCAAGGGGGACACGGGTGTCTGGGGAGGCCCCAGGGCCAGAGGCAGCCCTGGAGGAGAGGCCCCGGGCTGGAGACCCACTGGTTCTTCTGCTAACTCACTCTTTAGCACATCCCCAAGGAAGGTGTGTCCTGAGGAAGCAACACCCACGTGGGGGTGGCGCACCAGACAGTGCTGGCTGGAGACGATGCGACTGTGGGACCCAGAGGGGAAGGCGTGGGCTTCGTGGGAGCTTGTGCCCGAGCCCTCACTCCACAAACCAGGTGCCTCATGGGGCGGGAGCTGCTCTCGTGGTGGGGAGGAGGCCTCAGCACCAGGTGGACCTCAGGGAGGTGCAGGTGTACCGATTCATGAGCAATATAATCAATCAAGCGTTACGTGCTATAGGGAGGGTCAGGGCTGGGGAGAGGGGGCTCTGGGCACTCCAGGGAGGCCTGAAGTGGCCTAAAGGGGCTGGAGGCCTGGCCCTCCCACCCCTCCCCTGGCCTGCCGCTGCCCCTTCCCCACAGCCCGCCAGCAGGAGGGCCTGGGCTCCGCTGGGGACTTTTGTCTCTGCCCCTGACTCCGGCCCCCACCTTGGCCAGCCAGCCCTCCCCTCCCTGAGCATGAGCAGCCTTCCAGGCTCCGGGTGTTGGCTGAGCCTGGCCCATGGGAAGGCCAGCATGGGGGCCACAGGTTCTGCCTTGTCCAACCCCGTCTGGTGGGCCAACTTCCCCAGAGACTGGTGGCTGGATGCCCAGCCACCTCTGGGGGCTCATCCTTCCCCTTGTGACAGCGATGGGTGCACCATCTGGGGTTGCCTGACGGGGGTCCTCCTGCAGGGCAGCTGACTGTTCAGAGCTCAGGCCGGTTGTGGGATGCAGTCCGACGGTCAGAAAATAAAGCCATATCGAACAATCGTCCTCGAGTGTCCTTTCTGGGGGTGTGGTTGGGGCTGATTCCTGGGGCTGTGAGAGGGTCTGTCCTCGGCTTGTGGACGTATGGCCTTGTCTGCCTCCGTCTGTGTGGGATCTTCTGCGTGGGATCTGTGTGTGTTTGTGTCTGATGCGGACGCTGGTCGTGGGGGGCGGGGCCCACCCTGCTCCGGGCACACTCACCTCACCTAACAACACGTGAAGACCTACTTCTCAAATAGCGTTTCATTCTGAGGTTCTCAGGGGACACGAATTTGAGGGGGCACCATTCAACCCCATACAGGGTTGGGGGGCTCCAGGCTGTGTAGAGGCCCCTCCAACTGGCAGGCCCACCTCTCAGCCCCACACCAGGCTCTGGGGACGTCCTGGCTTGGGCGCAGCCTCCGGGATACTCTGGGTATGGGCAAAGGGTCACAGCTGTCTTCCCCCTGCCTTCCCCCCACTGAGGCTAAGTGGCTTTGGCCTCAGCATGGATGCGGGTAAAACTCCCCCCATTTCAGAAAAAAGGTCAGCCCGTCACCTCACATTAACAGGCACTCGTGTTTCCTTTACTCTTTTTACACAAGAAGTCCCACTGAGCACAGCCAGGGAAGCAGAACCACCACCAATCTGGCTGGCGAAGGTGGCTGCCGTCGGCACGTCCGTGTGCTTTCTCCTGCCTCCCGTGTGTGTGCGTGGGTGGGTGAGCACACGCAGTCTCACTGTCGCGTTCCCCCCTCTGCCGGGCACTCAGGAGGAGAGACCCTGTGGGGGCCTGCAGTCCCCTGGGGAGGATAGGTAACAAAAACGGGTGGGGCAGTGATGGCTCCCTGAGGCTGGGGCTTTTGAATGAAGTCAGTGACGGGAAGGGTCCAGCCGTGTGGACGCCCAGACCCGTGGTCCGGGCAGAGGGCACAGTCGTGCGCAGGCCTCGGGCAGGCAGAGGCTGGTGTGCTGGAGGAGTGGTGGGCAGGCCCGTGCTGCCGGAGGGGAGCCGGGCCGGAGGTGTCAGGCCACTCAGGAGGGTCTTGGTGGGGTGTTCGCATTTCACTCTTCAGTGTGATGGGGCCCGTGGGGAGGGGTGGCCGAGGAGAAGAGGGCCTGGCTTGCACCTGGGAAGGTCACTTGTGCCCCAGGGGCGACTGTGAAGATGAAACGAGGCCAGGCCGCCCATGCCAGGCCCGTTGGGGGTCGTCGCCTGGGCTCCCTCGGCACTGTGAGCATCGCCCTTCGTCCCGGTCACTTCCTGGGTGGCAGCAAGCAGTTTGGGCAAAGACGTCCTCCACCAGGACCCCAGAGGGGTCCCAACCAGCGACTCTGACCTCTTCCCTGGGGGTCTTTGTTTTGAGGCAGTAAAACATGAGTCAATGCCCCCGGAACCATTTCTGTCTCTCCCCCTTTTACCCAAAGGCGTGATCCACTGCCACACCCCTTCCGTTCTTGAAAACGTTTTTTACATACAGACTTACGAACACCCGAACAACAGTCAACATTTTTCTGTATGGCTTAAACATTTTATATAGGCAACAGCTTACTGGCCTTACCTTGTGTTGTCTGTTTTTGAAACCTCTGAAACAGCTTCACTGATCTCTAATCAGATACCATCATAACGATGAACAGAGTCCTCGCTCTCAAAGTTTTTTCTTGTTCTTTTGTCGTTTCTCCTTTGCCCCACCCCAGGCAACCACTGATCTGCGGTCGCTCCATGTTAGTCAGCCGGCATTTCTTAGATTTTTACCTGGACGGGGTCACGCCGCAGGCGACCTTCTTACCCGGCTGCTTTCACTCAGCGCGGTTATCCTGAGGCCGGCGCCCGCAGTTCATTCCTTTCTCATCCCGAGTCTGTCCCCTGGGCGGGCGCACAGCAGGCGCTCGGGTGACGTCACTCCGTTCGGTGTCGTGTCCTCGCAGCGTCGGGGTGCGGCCTGTGGTGACCGATCCCGTCGTGTGTCGTTTCGCTTACAGCCACAGAACTTTTCGATGGCGTTACATGAGGATTCAGGGTACCACGGTTTGTTGTCAGTTCACCCGTTGAGGGACATTTAGGTCGTTTCCCAGTTTTGGGTGTTACCCATCAGCTGCTACAGACATTTGTATACAATTGAATGCATGGACGTGTGCTTCCATTTCTCTTTGGTAAGTGCCCAGGAGTGGCATGGCTGGGTCTCATCATTGGCGTCTGAATTTTTTTGAAGATGACATTACCATTTCGTGTTCCCGCCACCAGTTCCTCCGTGTCCTTGCCAGTGCCCGGTGTGGCTGTCTTGTGCGTAGTGCTGTCGCCGCAGCTTTAGCTGGTGTCTTCCTGTTGACGGTCTGCACATCTGTATCTGTCTCCCACATCTCTGGTGTGTCTTCCTCTGGTGACATGCCTGTGACAGCTTTTGCCCATTTTCTGCAGATTTTCATTTATTGACTTGTGTGAATTCTTTATATATGCTTGATGCAACCTGCTTTTCAGCTATACATTTGTAAATATTTTCTTCCAGTCTGTGGCTTGTCTTTTCATTCACTTACGTATCTTTCAAAGAGCAAAAGTTCTTAATTTGTATCAAGTCCAGGGTGTCGGTTTGTTGTTTTATGAATTGTGCTCCGGTGTCAGTCACACCTAGGAACTGTTTCCCAAACTCAAGGTCACAAAGGTCTCTTTCTGTTTTCTTCTAAAAGTGTAATAATAGCTTTAGGTTTTACATTTAGATTTATGATCCTTATTGTGCTTTTTTTTTTAATTGTGCATTAGGTATTGAGGTTTTTAAACTTAGGAACTGATGTTTAAAAATTTAAGCCCTTAAATCCATACTTATTTTTACTTGGCACATTTGTTATTTAGCTACAAAAATGTCTGTTTTCTTTGATGATGATGAAAATAGCATGAAAATGAAAAGAAGCAGTGACATCGATGCCGTGAGGAAGACCGAGGGATGGAAGGGATCAGCCCCCACTTCAAAAATGTGTTGCAAAATACAGAGCAAGTTTAGATTTTTACGTACGAATATCCCATTGTCCCAGCACCATATGTTGAAAAGACTGTCCTTTGTACCTGTTTTTTAATTTATTTTCTAAATCAGTTGATGGCTGCGTGTGAATCAGTTTCCGGACCACATGCTGTTCCCCTGATCTGGCACCTCTTCTTTTGCCAACAACGCGCCGTTTTGGTTACCTTGGCTTCCTCGTAGGTCTTGAAGTTAGGTAGTGTGAATCCTTCCATTTTGGCCTTTTTCAAAGTTGTTTTGCCTATTCCAGTTTTTTTGCACTTCGATATGATTTTGGAATCAGCCTATCAATTGTTCTTTTTTTTTTAAGCCTTGGGTTTAACTGGGATTACAGTGAATCTATAAATCAGTTTGAAAAGAACTGTAGAACTGAGAAGTTACTAATTGCAGTGGTTAATTCTTTGTGTCAACTTGGCGAGGCCATGGTGCCCAGCTGTTTGGTCCAACATCAGTCTGGATGTTGCTGTGAAGGCATTTGGGGGCATGGTTAATATTTAAAACCCTGACTGAATAAACGTCACCCTCTGGAACACGGTGGGCCCTGTCCGGTCAGCCGGAGAGAAGGTCCCAGGAGGAGGAAGGAACCCAGCTCAGGGCGCCTTCGGAGGCAACACTGGCTCCTGCTGGGATTTCCGGGCTCCGGGCTTCCCCTGGGGGTTTCCGACAGCCCAGCCCGCACCCTCTCTCTACGCACATGTCCTCCTGTTCTGCTCCCCGGAGGCCCCCGACTAACACACTGGCACTGAGACTTGTGACCCGTGTTCGTGGCTGAGGAGAGAGGCCAGCCGGAGGGGAGGAGACGGCACCTTTTAGACCCAGGCCTCTAGGCCCTCATAAGTCACGTGTGCAGGGTGCCAAACTTCTGCCTGGCAGTGTGGGCCCCACTACCCTGGGCCACACAGTGCATCTATTCTCTGGGTGGGCCCAGCTCTTGCCTTTATGTATTTTGTTTACACACGTACACACACATTCCTTTTCATTGCTGTATCGTATTCCATGAGCAGTGCCTTGAGCTGTCCACCCAGTCCCATGCTGATGGGCACACTGCTTGTGCCCACCTTTGCACCACCATAACCTTTATAGGTGCCTCTTGGCACACCAGGAGGGAGTGTGTTTAACCAGATATCCGTAAACTGCACCCTCAGCCTAGTCTGGCCCTCTTCCTATTGTAAATAAAGTTTTATTGGCACAAGGCCCTGCCCACTCGGTTGTGTATCTTCTGGGGCTGCTTTCACATGCGAGGGTGGAGCTGGACAGTTGCAGCAGAAACTGTGGGGCCTGCCAAACCCAATGCTTAGCACCCGGATCTTTACAGGAAAATTCCAGACTCTAGTTTTCCTTCTCTTTTGTAGTGGATAAGTGTTGGCCACTACCAGGCAGCAAAACAGATTCATTTTGCAATGGACACACATTTTTGGCTTCTTTTGACATTTCAATCTCAGTTCTGAGAGTTACTAATGATTTTAATCACCACTTTAATGTACAGAAACATCCAGAGCAAATTGAACAGGGGTGCTGGGTGGGGCATGAAAGAAACATGATCCCAAGGGGCTGCACGAGCTTCTCCACCGCCAGCCCAAATTGCAAGGGCATCCTTAATCCATGCCTGGTGCCTGCCCTGGGGCCAGAGACTTCAGGGTCCAGGGAGGAGCAGGCAATAGGGATGCTTGCAGCTGGGGTTCGAGGCAGACGCCAGCCCGTGGCCGGGCAGCGGGATGGCTGGGCCACCGGCCGACTCCCCTCATGACCCTAATGGGAGAAATTGGGTACGTTGCCTGATGCTTCACAATATTTGTTTTCCTTCTGTTTTCTAACGTTTTATTTTGACATAATTTCAGATTTACAGAAATCGTACAAAGAGCTTTCTAAGCCCTTCCTATATCCTGAAAATGTTGACATTTTACCACCTTTGTCTTGTTCTTTTCTGTCTCTGCCTCCCCTCCCTCTGTATCTCCCTCTGCCCCTTCACTCCTAAATATGCCCAGGTGTGTTTCCTAGTACCCAAGGCATTC